TTTAGCCGCACGTCTCTCAAGACGGCTAAACCCGAATGATTCTAGTTCTAGGTATAGTGTTAGTTCTAGCTCCAGTGTAAAACTAGAACTAACACTAGACCTAGAACTAAAAACATTCTCTATAGCTTTCTAGTTCTAGGTCTAGTGTTAGTTCTAGTTTTACAGTAGCACTGTTACTAGACCTAACATTATACCTAGAACTAGAATCATTCGGCTTTAGCCGTCTTGAGAGACGTGCGGCTAAATCCGAATATTTCTAGATGTAGGTGTAGTGTTAGTTCTAGTTTTGCACTAGCACTATCACTAGAACTAACACAAGGCCCAGAACTAGAATCATTCGGGTTTAGCCGTCTTGAGAGACGTGCGGCTAAACCCAAATGTTCCTACTTCTAGGTCTAGTGCTAGTTCTTGTGACAGTACTAGGTAGCACTAGTTAACATTAGATATCACTATGCAGACGCACGTTTTGCACTAGCACTATCACTAGAACTAACACAAGGCCCAGAACTAGAATCATTCGGGTTTAGCCGTCTTGAAAGACGTGTGGCTAAATCCGAATGTTTCTAGTTCTATTTCTAGTGCTAGTTTTAGTGATAATGCAAGCGTTAATTCTAGTTTTAGTTCAATACAAGATATAAAGATTCAAGAAAATTGATACATTGTTGTTGAACTAATACTAGAAAATCTAAGAGAAGAAAATCTAGAAAATTCTAGAAAATTTTAAAAGAGATTTTTAATAAAAAGATTCCTAAGTATATTCCTAAGTCCGTACCTGTATGAAAGTTACCATTAAGAGTGTAAAACGATTTGTCGTTTACCCATAGGAGGTTACCGGTAATGTCCCATCGACCAGGTGATCATCCTGATTAATATTTCTTAATCAGTTCGATGTTGACGTTGAGAAACAATCGCAAACCTCACCGTCCGGGAAGAGAATCGGCGAGAAAAAGTGCGCGAGCGACGCTCTTACGCAAACGCGTAAGCAGCTTTTAATTAATCTAGGATTCATTATTGGATTTAATCGGCGCACGTTAAGAGTCTTGTCCGGATTTGGGTAATTTCTCTTTCAAAGGATCACCGGTGACCATCCGAGCGTGGTTTTAATTGCAACCGGAGGCCAGATTTAATTCGCTCACTTCTGTTTAGGGACTAATTGGATTACCAAGTGCTTAAACATATCGATCGAATGTCCGTTTATTGCATTACCGAGTAACCCCCATTCCTCTAAGTATTCTTTTGAACGTCTTCGTCTAATCCAATAGTCTCATTCATTCATTATCACTAATTTCAACTCGACATTTTTTATGTATTCGTTTATTTTCTTACCTTGTTTCAGATTAAAAATTACTAATAGAAAAAGGACATGACCAAAACAATTTTGAAAGATCTTCAAGATGATGGGGGTAGATTCAATTTGGGTGAGTGTATGGGATCGGGAGTTTTTGGGAAAGTTTTTAAAGCAACCGATTCTTCAAATGGAAATCGTTCGGTGGCGATCAAAATACAAAATTTATCGAAAGATAACGAACATTACGTGTGCGAAGAATTAAAGGTGTTAAAAGATTTTTCGAACCATCCAAATCTCCCCACGTTTTACGGCGGATTTAAACATAACGCTGAAATTTGGTTTGTTATGGAAGTAAGTAAATTTTATTCCAAATTTTTTATTGAATCAAATCTTAAATTATTATTTAAGCTCTGCGAAGGGGGTCCCATTATCGATTTAGTAAACGGTCTTTTAGAACGTAATCGAAGAATGTCCGAAGAACAAATCGCTTTCGCTTTAAAAGAAACAGTAAAGGTATGAAAATTATAAATATGTTGTTATATAAAATTACATAGTATAATTAGCTTTTAAACGAGCACTTTCATTTCTAAATGGCCGTTAAACAATGCGTCTTTATCGCGTGTTTGGTTCTCTTGGCAAAAAAGCTTCGCATAAATAAACGTTTTTACAATAATTATGACCAATTTACCGAGATAAATCAGTGGTAAAGCGACGTGCGAGAAAACATCTAGAGCTTTCTACTCTAAAAACATGTTAATAAGTTCTTCGTCCCAATGGCCATGTTCGCTAAGTTATTTTAACAGCTACAGCTTGTCAAATCTATCTTGGTCAGTGAATAATAAATCAATTTATTATTATTTTTTATTATTAGGCAATCGTCTATCTACATAAAAACCATATAATGCATCGAGATATTCGAGGATCAAATATCTTAATGACCTATGAGGGTGAAATAAAAATAATCGATTTTGGTTTATCACGTCACCTAAATAGTACGTTAGATAAAACCGATACTTGTCTTGGATCCCCGAATTGGATGGCCCCGGAAGTTGTTTCGAGCCCATCAGATACAGGCGAAGAAGGATATGGTAACCGCGCTGATGTTTGGGCAATGGGAATCACCGCCATAGAACTTGGCGATGGGAAAACTCCGTTTACAGGAATGCACCCAACGAGGGCTTTATTTCAAATTGTCAGAAATCCACCGCCAACACTTCAAACTCCGAGTAATTGGAGTGAAATTTACAATGATTTTGTGTCGGAGTAAGTTGGAATAAAATTAAATCGAACAATTTATTATTAAAAATTTTTGTAGGTGTTTAGTAAAAAATCCGGAATATCGTCCATTTATGCCTGAAATTTTAGGACATCCATTTTTAGAAACTGTCCCTGAAAATAATTATCACGTAAATACCTCAAATAAAACGAATTTAAACAAATAAATAAATTCTTTTTCAATCTAGTTAGCCCAAGAATTAAAAACTCTTCGTTTGGCAATTTTTGGCGAATCAATCCCCATTATTAATCATTCCGAAGAATTTTTAAAATCATCAATGTTAAAAAGATCAATAGATGATCCCCCCGAAAAAATGGATACTGAAGATTTGGCTGCTCTCGACCATATAACTGAAGAATCAGTTTTAGGCGAACTTGAAACACGAATGAATGCGGGTCGATTTCAAACATTCATCGGAGACATTCTCCTTACGCTAAACCCAAATGAAACTCCAGATATTTATAACGAACAATTTCATAAAAAATATAACTGCAAATCGCGTTCAAGTAACGCCCCTCATATTTATGCAGTGGCTGATAGCGCTTATCAAGATGCTTTACATCATGAGATACCCCAAAACATCATTTTATCGGGCGAATCAAATTCTGGGAAAACCATGAATTATATGCATCTAATGGATCATTTGTTGTATTTAGGACAAAGTATTAATATTAATATGCAAAGAATTAAAAATGGGGTTAAACTCATTCAAGCGTTTACTCAAGCAGCTACTTTATTAAATGAAAATTCGACGCGGTGTATTATGAAAACGGAAGTTATTTATGGGAGGACTACTAAAGTTAGTGGATGTACTTTTAATGTTTATCAATTAGAGAAATTACGAGTTTCATTAACGTAAGTATTTTTTAATTATTTTTAGGATCATTTGACTCAAGGTCATTTAATATTTAATATGTGATAACAAGAAATGTAAAAATTAATCTTTATTTTATTGAAAATTTCAAGTTTTTATTAGTTGATATAAATTCTGAAACTTAACCCAAAAACTGCTATTTTTGTATGCTTATCTTAACCTTAGAAAGCTAAACTATCGTAAAAATTACGAGTTCCATAAAGATATGCAGCAATCTGGTGCTGAATAACAAATAAAACTAGAACTAACACTAGACCTAGAACTAGAATGTTTCGGGTTTAGCCGTGCTTCTTCAGACCCAACCCAACCCAACCCAAATGTTTCTAATTCTAGGTCTAGTATTAGTTCTAGTTTTACACTAGCACTTTTACTAGAACTAACATTATACCTAGAACTAGAATCATTCGGGTTTAGCCGTCTTGCAAGACGTGCGGCTAAATCCGAATGTTTCTAGTTCTAGGTCTAGTGTTAGTTCAAGTTTTGTACTAGCATTATCACTAAAACTAACACAAGACCTAGAATTAGAATCATTCGGGTTTAGCCGTCTTGAAAGACGTGCGACTAAATCCGAATGTTTCTAGATCTAGGTCTAGTGTTAGTTCTAGTTTTGAACTAGCACTNATGGATCATGTAAACAGAATTAAAAATTCGAAGAAAAGGATTGTGCACCACTTGGCACATAGATCGCAAGACGAAATTATTGCGGCTTTAGGAAATGAAGTACTTAATAAAATTAAAAATGATATTAAAGCCGCCACATATTTCAGCATACAGATGGATTGCACCCCAGACATTTCTCATACCGAACAGACATCAATCATTATTAGATATGTACATTTTTGTGATAAAAAAATAAACATATATGAATCGTTTGTGGGATTTATTGAAGTATCAGATACAACTGGTGAAGGACTAGCTAATACCCTTTTAAAAAGAATAAATGAGCTGGATTTGGATATTATGTATTGTAGAGGGCAAGCATACGATAATGGGGGCAATATGAAAGGAAAATATAAAGGCGTACAGTCCAGAATAATTAGTTTAAATTCTCATGCAATTTATGTCCCTTGCATATCACATTCTTTCAACCTTTTAATCTGTGATGCTGCTTCTAGCAGCATATATTGTAAAAACTTTTTTGGATTGCTGCAACGCGTATATTGTTTGTTTTCTGCCTCAACCAAAAGGTGGGAAATTTTACGAAAGCACTTAAATATTACGTTAAAACGATTATGTGATACTCGTTGGGAAGCCAAAATAGATTCCGTTAAAGCAGTGTACAGGCTAACTCGGAAACTATAAGAGTTAGAAAAAAAGTAGCTTCCATGTCATGATCTCGTTTTTCGAGAAACTGCTAATGCCGAAAACCTCATAGCGCTATCGTGTTTTGTTTTTCCCCTAGAGGCCAAAATTGAAAATATTGTAAAACCAGCAAGTGCAATTATCTTGGTTATTATTCTAGGTGGAGTATTATAACTACGACATTATATGGACACTTTTTTACAGAGAATTTGATGACGTAGACAAAAAAATTTTTTCGGTTTTAGATTTTGAGATATCATGACAATTTTCATTTTTTTAAATGGAAATAACCACTGATTATTCGCTTATTAAATTCTTTATTTTTTTCGAATCATAAAAATATAGGGTTCGAAAGGTCTATTTCTTATTGTTTTAGAATAAAGCTAAAAATAAACTTTTTTTATAAAATTTCCATCTAGTGTCGTCGAGGAAATTAAATTTACAGTTTCCTGTAAGTTACGGGGCGGTTGATAAAATCTAAAAAGTTAACAATTAAATAAGAAGATAACTTCTGGTATTTAAAAACAAATATTTTTTTTAATATGTAACATTCTAACATATTAATCTTTTCAAAATTTTCGTAATTCATCTTAAAAACAGGATTTTTAAAGTGACACTTCAGAAAGTTTTTGAATACAAACAAATGTTGCTATGTTTATTTGAATTAAAAAAAAAAGCATATGGCGCCATCTATCAATAATTTATTAAGTCATTTAATAATATTAAATATTAATAAAAAATGTAAAATATTTTTGAAAGAATGCAATCTATTCCAACTTTTGTATAATTAAATATATAAATTAAATAGTTCAACAAATATATTTGTTTCAAATATCAGCAATATGTTTTTTTAATTTTTAGTTATAATTTACAGGAAACTGTAAATTTAATTTCTTGGAAGACACTAAAAGAAAAGTTTATTTTTAGCTTTATTCTAAAACAATAAGAAATACACCTGTCAAACCCTATATTTTTGTAATCAGAAAAAAATAACGAATTTAATAAGCGAATAATCAGTGGTTGTTTCCATTTAAAAAAATGAAAATTGTCATAATATCTCAAAATCTAAAACCGAAAAAATTTTTTTGACTACGTCATCAAATTCTCTGTAAAAAAGTGTCCATATAATGTCTTAGTTATAATACTCCAGCTATAATAATAACCAAGATAATTGCACTTGCTGGTTTTACGATATTTTCAATTTTGGCCTCTAGGGGAAAAACAAAAGACGATAGCGCTTCGAGGTTTTCGGCATTAGCAGTTTCTCGAAAAACGAGATCATGACATGTAAGCCACTTTTTTTCTAACTCTTATAGTTTCCGAGTTAGCCTATTCGGACATCGAATTTGAACCACCCTGTACACACAGTTTGAAGAAACATGTAATGCCTTGGAAGAACTAACTGAAACAAGTAATGACAACGCTGTCGTTTCCGAAGCTCAAAGTATACTAAATTCAATACAAAAAATGCCTTTTATTTTATCTTTATCAGTGTGGTTCACAATATTATCGAAAATTAATAGCATCAACAAATTACTTCAAGGAAAAGCAATGGTTCTTGACTCGGCACTTAATTTAATAAATAAAGTTAACGAGGATGTCCAAAATTTAAGATCGAAGTTTAATAAATTTTTAGAAAAAGCAAGAACTACAGCGCGCCACATGAAAATTTCAGCAGATTTTCCTGAGAAACGTATTAGGAAAAGAAAACGAATATTTTCCGAATTAGCGGAAGATGAAGTGTTGGAAAACCCGGAAGAGGAATTTAGATGCAACTTTTTCAACGTTATCATTGACACCATTATTGTGCAAATAGAGGAAAGATTTCAAATCTAAAATCTATCTACTGCTTACTAGCGCTACTCAACACTGTCACTAGAACTAACACTCTATCTAGAATCAAAATCATTCGGCTTTAGCCGTTCGCAAGACTAAACGGTGGCCTTTATGCGTATTGTATGGAATTGTGAACATTGTACATTTATATATCATTTATTGTATCTAGAAGTATTTTTTATAAAAAATTTTTTCTAGTCGTAAATGTTACGATACTTTAGCTTTAACGTCCCTTTTAAACAATTTAGCTTTCTAGGGTTAATTTACCTGCTCCTCCACCAAAACAAATAAAGAATATTCATTCGTATTGTTTTAGAGATCAACCTAATTTCCACATCTTCTATTACTTCTTCGAAGGATTAAAATCAACCGATCGTTTATCAAAATACAATTTAGATCCAAATCAAAATTATCGTTTTCTTCGTTTCGATGATAGGCATTTGATGAAAAAAAGCAATGAGCAAAAAGCGAAAGCTTTCGGCGATGTGGAGAGATATCTCGCTGAATACGAATTTACAGAAGATCAAATTGATACGATCTATTCAATGTTAAGTGCAATAATTCTTCTTGGAGATGTAAAATTCCGACCGTTAGAGAATGAGACGGCTGCCCTCGAAGATGAACAACAAGTTTGCGAGATTGCCAACTTGTTGCAAGTTGATGGAAAAAAGCTTTGTTGGGCTTTGGTTAATTATTGTTATATAAGCCAAGGAACTGCAACTAAAAAACAACATAGTTGCGAAGAAGCTGAGAATGCAAGAAATGTTTTAGCGAACGTTTTATACGCTCGTTTAGTTGATTATGTTGTTAATGTAATTAATTATAAATTATCTTTTGGGAGAACGATTTTGTAAGGATTATTTCTTTTCAAATTAAAAAAATTAAAATTAAATTTTTTTAGTGGTGAAAAATACTGTGTTAAAATCTTAGATATGTTTGGAATGGAATGCTTTAAACAAAACTCTTTCCCTCAATTAATCGTTAACACATTCAATGAACAAATGCATTATTTGTATTTACAAAGAGTTTTCGCTTGGGAAGGTTTAGAACTAAATGAGGAGGGTGTTCCATACCAGCCGATTCATTACTACGATAATAAACCAACATTAGAAGAAATTTTGGGAAAAGGTGGTTTATTAACTATTTTAGATGATACAACCAAAAACGATCATCTTGATAAATTTATTATTGGTAAAATTAATTGAAATTAATTTAAAATTAAATCAAAAATAAAATTTTTGTTTTTAGATCGTTTAGAAAGCTCAGAATCGAACATTAAGCCCATAAATCACAAAGAATTCGCCGTTTCGCATTATGCAGGAAAAATTGTTTATAACATCAACAGGATGGCAAGTCAAAATGGAGATTTCTTACCTCCAGAAGTCATCAATGTCTTCAGGGACTCAAATAATCCTTTAATAAAAGCGTTCTTTACAAATCGATTAAGTAAAACTGGAAATGTTCGAGTAAACTTTGAAGAGAAAACTGTTAGAAAATCAAATAAATTTTCTTCGTCGTCATCGGAAGATGAAGGAAATGTAAGTTGTACTGATGTATATCTCAATTCGTTCTTAATTATGCTTCTTTTAGTTTTCCCAAATAAAAAAAATGAGAACAATCTCATCAACTTTCAAATCAATTTGTTTGGAGTTAATGAAAGATTTGGCTGTTGGAGGTGGATCCGGAGGAACTCATTTTGTTCGTTGCGTTCGGTCCGATTTAGATGGAATCCCAAAAAGTTTCCACCCAGAAATTGTTAAACAACAAATCCGAGGAATGGCAATCGTAGAAACGGCTAAAGCCCGACAAAAAGGTTATCCTCATCGAATAATTTTCCCCGAATTTATAAGAAGATATAAATACCTCGCGTTTGATTTCGATGAGAACGTTGAAACGACCCGAGATAATTGTCGATTACTTTTGGTGCGTTTAAAAATGGAAGGATGGGTTATTGGAAAAACGAAAGTCTTCTTAAGGTATTATAATGAAGAATATCTCGCGAGATTATACGAAAATCACGTTAAAAAGATTATTAAAATCCAATGTATGATGAGGGGATTTTTGGTAAAAAGAAAAATCGCTAAGAGAATTCAACGAGATAAAGAACGAGCCATTACAAAGTTGAGACGAAAATCATCTCTTGATCAAATGACTCAAGAAGAAGCTGCGGTGATCTTACAAAAAGGTAATTCATTAATTAATTAATTAATATAATAAGATTAGAAGTAATTTTCGTTAATGACTTACTTCTGAATTGCATGTTTTAGTAAACAAAAGATCATCCGTAGACGCTTGTATGAGAAAGGGTAACCAATAAAAAAGATTTAGAACGATTCAGAAGTGGCCATTCGCAATATTTAATCTTTTACTTATAGCGTTTTACTTCATACTTATATCTACAGCAATATTCTTATAGCTTATCGAGGTTTAACCGTTAGAAAACAATATGGACCGCTAGTTTGTAATAATACGGGAAAATTGGATGAGAATACCCGAGATTTTATTCGACCATTTTACGATAAATGGAAAAATAAGACGCTTTTTCAAGTTATCCTTCAATATCGAGCTTCAAATCATCACCATTTATTTAATTTCGCCCAACAGGTAAGTAACAATCTAAAATAAATATTTTACTCATTTATTAAGGTTACTCAATATTATTTAGGTACATTTCTTCAATCAAAAATGCGTTCATAGTCTTCAATTAGTTAATAAACCCATTCATTTAGACTGTATCGAGCGTAATGCTCAAGTAACCGCTTGGTTATTGGAAATGCAACCCCCAGTTTTAAAACTACCGTTTCGTTTGGATGATATTCCTTATTTCGATACAACTTATATGTGTGATCCATTATCAACTGTAACGTAAGTATTATTATTTAAAAATAAATTAAATTAGTTAATAAAAAGATTTTTTATAGTGTTTCAACTGAAACTGAAGAAACTTGGGATACTCCCTTCAAATGGAGAGATAACGTATCATCTCAAATAACAAATTCTTTAAATAACGATCCCAATAAAGATTCTGTTGCGGAGACTTTAATAAAAACGAACGCGGATAAATTAATTAATCTACCTTATAATAGGGATCCAACAACCCCCGTTCGAAGACTTTCAGCCGCCTTGCTTATCGAAGATGTATGTGCCAAAAGATGTGCTACTAAAAATGAAAAGAACACTGAAAATATTAAAATAAAACCAAAAAATCCTTCGTCAAATATTGTTAAATCTAATTCTGGTCCGATTAATCCAATTGCTGAATTAAAAGGATTCGCTAAACAAAATAGGTCATCAAGTAAAGATGACGATGATGACGGTCCTCCGTTTAATTTTCAGGCAATGCTGAAAAGGACAAGCATTAAAAGGGAAAGTTTAAAAAGGGCTCTTTCGCATATTTCTTTAACTAGTAGTAGAAGATCGAGCACTGAACTCTGCGATTTTCGGAGTAATTTGAAACCGGTTTCTAAAGAGAGGAGTTTTAAGAAAGGAAAATCTGATATTACAACGGTTCAACTTGCACCTGGTGTTATTTTAGAAGGTGTAAGTACTGATCTATAAATTTTATTTACTTATATAAAAATATATAAATCTTTTATCTCAGTATTTTAATTATTATATTTTATTTATTTACTTTTATTTAAATATAAGAATATATTTATCAATTTTATTCAATTAATTCTTTAAGAATATGAATTCTGAATGTACTTGGAAAAATAAAGACATATTAATTAAAATCAAATTAAATTTTGTACTATTTTAATCTCCAACTGCTTCTTAACAGCATCAATTTCTTCCTGACTAACCGTAACTTTAGCCCCACACTCTTTCTGTTCATTCTTAATAAATTCCAGTGTGTAGTGTGTCAGTTCAATAAAGATATATTATAGAACAATCTGGTGCTGAGTAACAAATAAAACTAGAACTAACACTAGACCTAGAACTAGAAACTTTCTAGTGTTAGTTCTAGTTTTAGTTCAATGACAACATACAATTTAGAACTATCTAGTACTTACTAACTAAAATGATATTTTACTCATTTATTGGTGATATTTTAGAAGGTGTAAGTACTGATCTATAAATTTTATTTACTTATATAAAAATATATAAATCTTTTATCTCAGCATTTTAATTATTATATTTTATTTATTCACTTCTATTTGAATATATTTATCAATTTTATTATGTACTAATTAATTCTATAAGAATATGAGTTGTATAGGTACTTGGAAAAATAAAGAAATATTAATTAAAATCAAATTAAATTTTGTACTATTTTAATATTTAAATAATACAATTTATTCTAAATTAATCATCTTTATCTTCTTTAACATTTTTTAATTTTAATTCCTCCAACTGCTTCTTAACTGCATCAATTTCATCCTGACTAACCGTAACTTTAGCCCCACACTCTTCCTGTTCATTCTTAATAAATTCCAATGTGCGAATTTTCTCCTCCAAAAATGAAGGTTGCTCAATTTGTAGAATAGCCTTGTATTCATTAAGTTTATCCTGTACAACATCCTTGCAATATATATCTGTTAGTTTAGTCAATGATTCTTTTCTAGTAACCCAACGGGATTCGGTTGGAGGAGGTTTATAAACGATGTTAAGACTCTCCAATAACCACTCAAACTTTTTATAATCCCATCGTCTCAAATATTTTAAATGCTTTTTTCTTTTATCAATTAGTTCCTTCAAATTCACTTTAACTCGTTTATTTCTGGGATGATTTTCCATGACTTCTTGCATTGCTCTTATACCTCCAGTCCATCGCGCGATTTTCGATTCTATCGAGCCCGAATCATAATCATGTCTTTTTACGCGACCCTTCATCTCATCAATGTAAACAGAAACAGTTTCTGAGTGGGGTGCAAATTTTAAAGTGAATAATCGCTTTACTATGGGGTCAGCATCTTCGAGTTCTTTGCAATTTCTAAAATTCTTCTGCGTCTTTGTTAAATCAATGTTAGATATTTGCTCTAAATCACCACTCTTTTCTGGTTTATAACATAACACTTTTTCTGGTCGGACCCATTTTATTTTTAGGTTACTTTTAAATGCATAATTTCTTGATAAGTTACTTAATATAGAGCCTTTTTGGAGTTTTATTAAAAAATTTCCGATATTCATTTTAGGTTAAGTGGAATTATTTGAGGTTAGGATTTGACACTAGCTAAATATCGAATTTATAATTCATTTAAATTTTGGGTTCTAATATACACTAATATGTAAATAATAATAAATTATAGTCATAAAATTAATAAATATTAATAAATAAATGTTAATTTAGATTTATAATAAAAAATTTATTTAATCGTAGATGGCGCTAAAAACTATTTGACATGTGTTTGACGTTTCAGACCAAAATGTACTATAGAAGTTTCAGTTTATTTTTTAATTGATTACAAAGCAGTTATGTTTCTTGCTTAGATATTATTATTAAATTATTAATTGAATTAAAATGTAGTGATATAACAAATAGTGTTTAATTAATTACCATATACAACTTCAAAATGCTTTGTAGTCATCTTTATGAGAAAAGACCCTTAAAAAAGCCAAGAATCGGGCCCCCGGATGTTTATCCCCAAGACCCCAAACAAAAAGAAGATGAACTTAACGTAACCAATGTAAAACACGGCTTCCCCTCATCCACCCATATAAGTGATGAGTTTGGTTCAGCAAGGGATAAAAGCCACAATGTTACTGCTGGAAAAGTTGGAGCTTATTTTAACTCTATCATCGCCAGAAAAGAAGAATTAAACACTCTGAGTGATTCTGGAAGGAAAAAACAACAGATTAATCCTAAAGATAATTTTTGGCCTGCTACTCAACGTACTAAAGATACCATAAGAGCTTGGTTTAAAGATTTAGCTGGAACTAAACCTTTGATGATACTATCTAAAAAAGCACCCAATTTTAATAAGAAGGAGGAAATTTTTACTACATTATGTGAATATCAAGTTCCAATGATGCGGGCTGCTTGGTTTATTAAATTAAGTTCTGCTTACACTGTTGCTGTTACTGAGGCGAAAATGAAAAAAAGACAGTTGCCAGATCCTACAACAGGTTATTATTTTAAAAACAATTAACTTTAGTTATTGTAATTTTTTCTTTGTAGAATGGACCGGGACTTTACTTAAATTTTTAAAAGATCAAATTCCTAAGCTGCAAGAATATTATTCGCAAGTAGATAAACCTCAAAATACTCCCGTATCGGGATCTAGTAGTGACACTGAACAAAGATTAGCTGTAAAGTATTGGATGTACTGTACTCGATTATTAAAGTATATGTATGACGAAGGTTAGTATAATAATCATAATATCACGGTTTTAAAATAATTATTAAATTTTTTTCAAGGTCTTCTTGATAGGCAAGAAGTATTGACTTGGATCTTAGAGTTATTAGAAAAATTAAGATCTCAACCGACTGATGATGGCATTCTAAAACTATTTTTACCGTTAACCATGCAATACATGGATGAATTCGTTCAATCCGAGCTAATGTCGCGTCGATTAGCTTATTTTTGTTGTAAAAAATTAGGCTATATGCTTAACAACGTCGCTGAATCTAATTTAATCACATCCCCTCAAGGTGATGCCACCAAACCGGAACAAAAAGATGCTGATAAAGATAAAAAAGAAAATGTTATTGTTAATCCAATTCAAAGTACATTAATGGAATATCAAAATTGTCCTCACCATAAAGATATAAGTAAGAAGTTCAATTGGGTTATCTTAAGGGGGTATTATCAGCTAGAAGCTTGTTTTTTTAAGTAATTTATTGGAATGAATTTTGCAAAAACTACCTAACTACTTCCGCCTAACAAAATGATGGTTTTAACTGTACCTCAGGCGCAAGCGACGCCGATTTGGCATACATTATGGTGGATAACAACTGATTTTAGTAACTTACCCTTAATCAGGTGTATTGGAACCATACACAATATGTTCCTCAGCTTTTAAGCCTGTGTAATTATAAAAGTTTTAAAAAAATCGAAATTTTTTCTAAATGATAATATCCCCTTAAGTGGGAATGCCATTTTAAGTACTCATAATAATTGTTGTAATGATAATAAACAGGTCGCTGATATGTAGCTCCTAAAGTTTTAATGTTTTTTAAAATCTATTACATTAAAGATAAATTAACTATACAGGGTCAATCAAAAAGTTATGACCAAATAAAGTTACGTTTCCTTTAATGGAACATCCTGTATATTATTTCATATTTCGGTTCATCTCGAAATTCTAAACAAAATTCATGTAGCACGTCATAAACCTAAACTTAACCGTTTTTGAGATATTTAACGTTTATTATAGTTTGACAATTTTTCATCTCCATAGCAACGCAGTGACATAACTCATGTCAAAAATAGTTTGAATAATTTTCTAAATTACGTCACTAATTAGATAAATTCGTAAATTTTTAAAAGTTCTTTATCTGGAAAAGGAATAAGTTTAGGATTACGAATTTTGTTTAGAATTTCGAGATAAACTGAAATATGGAATAATATACAGGTGTTTCACTCAAGAAAACGTAACTTTGTTTCGTTATAACTTTTTGACTGACCCTGTATACTTAATTTGTCTTTATTGTAATAGATTTAAAAAAATACTAAACCTTTTGTATCTTAACATTTTTCGCTAGCTATCTTACTTTAGGAGATAACCGACCGTTTCCTTACATATCAGCGACCCTGTATTTAAAGTTAACATGGCATACTCCCTTGAGTTAATGTTTGTAAAAATAAATATTATTAGGTGTAAATTTTTCTCATATAGTTTTAGAATTATCGTCAATAATTCATTGCATAATTTTGGAATGTCCAACTGCTTTGGTTTGGTGTAGCACAGGAAATGGAACCATGTGGCACGGGTCGCCATTAGATTTACTCCCAATTCCACCTTCAACCCTTCCAATGCCCGTTAGAAGTGATACTAATTTATACAAAAAACAATTAAGACAAATGGAATACAGTATAAGAGAACGTAGTAAAAGAGCGGAAGGAAAATGGTGTACAGATAAATGGCAAACATCTTCCGCAGGTTAATTAATTAACTAAGGGCTGGTTGTATTAATACAATATACCGATACATCTACCTGATAACTATCCGACCGATAAAGTTATCGGGACGATAAAAGCGTTGTACAATCTGTTTTTGTCGGTAGAATTGCTATCGAGTCGGTTGGTAGCATTTTTTCCCCATATCTAGTGATTTGTGCCATAGGTTGGTAACGCTAGCGCTTTTCTTTGAAGTTTGAATTAATAATAATTGTTTAAAAAAATTTTCACGACAGACAACTAACACAACGTACATGTATGGTTAAGGTTTAATGTTATAGGTTAATCTATGCAGTAACTATACAAAGCTTTTATATAAAAACCTTGGTAACCATATATACAGGGTGTCTCACGTAACTGATTCGTTAGAACTTTTTCAGGTACCACTATTCGTAGAGATTTGAAACTTTGGTAAAATGGGTTGTTCATTCGGAACTTTCGATCTAAAATATTTTCAAGATGGCCGCTACATCCGGTCTACCGGAAGTAGACCATAACTTCGTTATTTTAAATGGAATGCTATAGTTTTAATTGTACGTAAAGAAATAGGTTGACTTTGATAAAAGTTATTGGTACCTAGCGTTTTTCGTTTTCGAGTTATTTTGGTTTTAAGCTTTTTTTGGTAAATTTCAACATGCTCTTTAAAACCTCATATCTCAGCCAACGTTCATTCAAAAAAGATCTACATTGGCACCATTACTCTTCAGATGCTATCAAATAGATTGTAATTAGTTGTATCGCAGTATCTTATACAGGTGGTCAAAAATTGAATTACTGTTTCTCCATATTCAATGGCGAGAAAGTCGCAAATTTTAAACGGAACACCCCATATTTTTTTAGCCTATCAGAAAGAGAATTTAATTCTCTACAAATTATCTATAAACATTCCTATAGTTATTTATTGTAGTTTGCCTCATATAGGGAAATTTATTAAAACGTACACGAAATGCAGGTTTTTTTATATTAAAAAGCTATGGAATTTTGACAGTTTTTTGTCCATGTTTGTATTATTGTTGTCATTAGTTACATTTGACGACGGGTGTAAGTCATTAAGTCATGACAGATTATTCCAACGCCGATATTTGAAATTTTTTTTATCGAGACCAAAAGAAACCGCATATTTCCGGTCACCAGTGATGAAGACAACGAAATAAATATTTTATCGTATTTTATTGCATTTCCAAATTCAATTTAATAACAAATTTATATTTTTATCCAAATCTAATTTTTGTCATTAATTTTGTGTGTTAATTGTTTCATTTATTTGATCTTCTGTTTATTATTTTTGGTAAGTAAAAGCTAGTAAACGAAAAGATTATGAATCGTAGCTAATAGTAGAAATAATAATAAAAATAAATAAACGAAATTTCCGCCTTCTAATAAAAATACAAACAGTTTCCTGCTTTTCCTGCATGTTTTGATAAATTTCCCAATATGAGAGAAACTACAATAAATAGGTATAGGAATGTTTATAGATAAATTGTAGAGAATTAAATTCCCTTTCGGGTAAGCTAATAAAATATGTGGCGTTCCATTTAAAATTTTCGACTTTCTTGCGGTTGAATATGGAAAAACGGTAATACAATTTTTGACCAGCCTGTATAACATAACGAAATTTGCCAAAAAAAGTTTAAAACCAAGATAACTCGAAAACGAAAAGCGCTAGGTACCAATAACTTTTATGAAAGTCAACATATTTTTTTACGTACAATTAAAAGGTGTAATAAAAACTATGGCGTTCCTTTTAAAATAACGAAGTTATGGTCTACTTCCGGTAGACCGGAAGTGGCAGTCAATCTAAAAAAATTCTAACGAACCAGTTACTTGAGACAGCTGTATATCTGGCGGATAACTGTCTTATCAGCACCTCTGAGTGACAAAAATATCCGTACATTAAACTAACTTATCGGCCAGATAACACTGTCGGGAAGTTTATCGGTATATTGTACAACCGGTTCTAAATCAATTTATTTCGTTACTAGTTCAATAATTTACTAGGTACAGTAATAAATAGAGTATTAGCAGCTTTAGATGCGTTAGATCGTCATAGATTCGATCGAATGGATTCAACAAACTCTTTGGATACACTTTATAATAAAGTTTTTATTGGAGGAAGTGACCAAGAAAGTGCAGTAATAAAACTGCTGTGTGAATGGGCTGTTTCACCCGAAAGAACGGGTGAACATCGAGCTTTAGCTGTTGCCGCCCTTTTAGATCGACGTCAAAATGATGCGAGTTCAACAACCGATCAAGATGCAAGCACAACGGATGACAAAGATTCGAATAGCTCAGTTCCGGGAGGTCCTCCAATGTTTCAATCACTACTCATGAAATTTTTGGATACAGAAGCTCCGGTTCCCGCACCCGATGATTGTCCCCAAAAAAAGACTGCTTTTACCAACCTCGTCCATCTTTTTTCCGAATTAATAAGAAGAGATGTTTTCTCGCATGATGCTTATATGTGTACGTTAATTTCTAGAGGTGATTTATTAGGGCACGAAGAAAGTTCGGATTTAAATCACCCGAAATTAGAGGATCATCATCAAATGGATTATGATGATTCAAAGATTGATGATGACTTGGATAAGATTTTACAAAATATTAAAGAGGATCAACAAAACTCAATGGACATTCCAGATAGCCCAAAGGATCACGATCACCACGGCCATCATTCCCACGTTCCTCATTCATCATTAGGCCATGTACCAATGGAAACCGACCAACATGATCACAAAATCAAACCCTCACGGCATTTATTATACACAACACATTTCCCGTTGTGTCAAGATGATCCTTTCGCTCAACACGATTGCAATCAAAGACACGTTTTGTTGTATGGCGTTGGGAAAATTCGAGACGAAGCTAGACACACAGTAAAGAAAATGTCAAAGGAAATATGCAAATTATTTTCGAAAAAGTTTAGTATCGATGTTGCTGAAGGTGGGAAGGTGAAAAAACATTCCAGGAATGAATTTAATTTTGAAGCGACTACTCAAAAATGTCAAAGCTTAAGTTATTTCGATCAACACGTTGTCACATGGCAATGTAGCGTTACCGTGATTGAAATGTTAAATTCTTTTGCAACGGGAAATTCGAATTATTTGCCGGTACAAGAACACGTTGCGTTCCTTTTTGATTTAATGGAACTCGCTTTAAATATTTATGGGTTAATCGATGTTTGTATTCAAATTTTGAAAGAATTACCAGAAGTTGAAGCTCAATTAATTGCTAAAAATTCTACTTTAATGAGAAATTATACCACATCTTTATCGTTATATGTCGTTGGAGTGTTAAGGAGATATCATAGTTGTTTATTATGTAAATAATTAAATAAATATTTCTTGTTTTGTTGTTAGATTTGATTATTATTTTTTTTTTAGTGTCTCCAGATCAAACTTCCGCAGTATTTGAAGGTCTTTGTCGAGTTGTAAAACACGTAACGAATCCGGGTGATTGTAGTTCAGCTGAAAGATGCATTTTAGCACATTTATATGATTTATACTCTTCGTGTAGCTTATTAAAAGGAAAACCTCACACCGTTGAACCTTTTGGTAACGCTTATCCAAAAATTCGCCAAGCTTTATACACTGCTTTACAACCAACACCAAGTAGTAGTTACGTTTACAACGCTCAGTATATGCAAGAAGTATTTTCAAACCCAAGGAGAGGTGGGCGAATTGAGGCAGCTTGGGCGAGACAACTTAGTGAAAATCCGAATAATAGGTAACATAATTTTTTTTTACATTATTTGTGTTAATAAATAAAGTTTATTAATTGTAGGTATTCTTTTGTGAGTAATGCAATAATCCATGTTTGTCGTGAAACTGATAATGAACGTTTAAACGATTTGGCAATAATGTGTGCAGAAATGACGGCTTGTTGCAATACTTTGGCATCTGAATGGCTTGGGGCTTTATTAGCTTTATGCTGTCCAATGTCGCATCCCGGATACTATACTGATGTTTTAGGACAGTTGGATATCCAGGTAATTCAAAATAAATACTTAACTAAGGCTCACTTTTACCATCCTCCTGATAAACTATCTAGTAGATGGTTGCCATGGTTACAGCTCTTTTAAGCGCTCTCATTAGCTAATAGTTAGATTTATTTATCAAGAGATTGCAAAAGTGAGCCTAAAACTAGAACTAACACTAACAGCATTAAAATTAGCATTAACACTAAATTTAGAACCTTTATACATAAAAATAAACATCTATTAATATTGAATCTTTTATTAAAAAGTTTGTTTTTAGGATGTTAGCATACACAATGCATTAGCTGTTTTTACCAGCATCTTAATCGCAAGACATTGTTTTTCATTAGAAGATTTCGTAGGATTACTAGCCTTGCCAAGTTTAGTAAAAGTAAGTATTAACACAACTTTTCACTTTTTATTTATTTATTTATTTTTTAATTATTATAGGTAAAATCTTTAGATAGCGGTGTAGGAGCTGCAGAAAGTGGAATTCGTCTAACATGCCACCTTCTCCTTCGCTTATTTCGTACAACGGAAGGTCCGCAACCAGGGTTATATTCAGTAGGCTCTCCTCCATTAACGGCTCCACGACCACCTTTGGGTGTAAGATATAGTTGCGATAGACATCTTTTAGCAGCCGCTCATCGTAACATACAAGTAGGACCGGTATTGGCAGTTTTAAAAGCTGTCTTAATGGTTGGAGATACAACGGCGAAGGAAGGTACAGAATTAAGTATATCACACATATTAGGAACTAGCGATTTATTGGGAGGTGAAGATGTTCCATCTTTGGATTTGACGTGAGTGCTTTATAATTATTAAAAGAAAAGGAGGCTTAAGCCATTAACGTTACCAGTTTTTGATACTAACTCATTCTTTAATAATAAAAAAATTCAGACGTTTTTGATATTTTCCATTTTTTAAGCGCGAATTTTTTAAGTAGATTGAATTGAAAGTTATTTTTTTTTTGTGTCGAAAAATAGGTATTTTATTAACAAAGAGGCTAATTGGTAGCTATTTTTTATTAATTAGTTGTAGCTGAAAAAGAAGTAACGAGGTTTATTTTGATTTAATTTGAATTGTTGTTTGAAATTTGTTATTTCTCTTGTCAGGGTGATAGACATGGATGTTTGCGGGTCGAGGACAACCCATAGGTTTGTCTATGATGATATCCTAAGCTTTGCCTTTGTAGTAAAACACTTTTACATCACACACCAACCTGCACATTACATAGAACATTGCTTTATTTATATTATTATTTTTTTTTGTTTATTTCTTAGTTGTATACACTTTTATTTATCCACACCTGCTTGTAATTACTTAAATTATCTCTTTTTAAATTTCAATTTCGGTTCTTTTCTATTTCGTTAATACCTTCAAGTCTTAATTTTACTTAATAGTTAATTTAATTAGAATTTTTAACATTTAACCCTTTAATAATATCTTAGTGTTATTTCGAAATTAATTTGTTGAATTTAATTGTGTTAAAGGGTTAAATTAATTGATTTTTTTTTTGTTTTAAGTAAAAGTTTTTTAAATTATACAAAAAAACAAGTTTAGTTTCAATTTTAGTAGACAATCGAGCACCGGAAATGCGGAGAGCACGGCTTCTCTGTCGGCATTTGCATGCCATGTGCTACGGGAGATCTGCTCTCAGCAGTGGGTGCTGGAACGGTGCCTATGTCATCCGGAGGAGCTTTGTCATAACGATAACCTCCTCGACAACGTTTTAACCCACAATCAAGCGCAACGTTTACTTCATATGATTTGCTATCCAGATACAAGTTCAACAATTGATGAATTGGATCAAAAAAGTATGATTGCAAGAATTTTAGAGGTAAGTATATTTTCTTTTTTATTATTTGATAAACTATATATTGTACCCAAGTATTTCAATTGTTCGAATTTTGTGTCATCTACGAAAATTTCGAATTGGGTATCCGTATTCATCAGAAGGTTATTCACTCAGTTATTTCAATGCTGATTTCCAGACCATTGACTTCGCCTCAAATCGCCGAGGTCGCTTGCGGGCGAGGCGCTGGATTCTCTTCAACATTTATGTTTATTATTTTTCTTTTGTTTTTTTACCAAGATATATAAGGAACGATTTCGCTTTAAATCGCCGAGGTCGCTTGCGGGCGAGGCGCTGGATTTGATATATCAATTTAGGAGAATTCTAGTGCCTCGCCCGTAAGCGACCTCGGTGATTTAAGAACAAATGTCGTCTTATAAGTGACTTTGTATCTTCACCACGATATATAAGGAGCGATTTCGCCTTAAATCGCCGAGGTCGCTTGCGGGCGAGGCGTTGGATTTGATATTTTATCAACTTAGGAGAATTCTACCACCTCGCCCGCAAGCGATCTCAACGGTTTAAGAGTAAATGTCGTCTTATAAGGGACTTTGTATCTCCACCACGATATATAATGAACGATTTCGCCTAAAGTCGCCGAGGTCGCTTGCGGGCGAGGCGCTGGATTTGATATATCAATTTAGAAGAATTCTAGTGCCTCGCCCGCAAGCGACCTCGGTGATTTAAGAACAAATGTCGTCTTATAAGTGACTTTGTATCTTCACCACGATATATAAGGAGCGATTTCGCCTTAAATCGCCGAGATCGCTTGCGGGCGAGGCGCTGGGTTTGATATTTTATCAACTTAGGAGAATTCTAGCGCCTCGCCCGCAAGCGACCTCGACGGTTTGAGAGTAAATGTCGTCTTATAAGGGACTTTGTGTCTTTACCAAGATATATATAAGGAACGATTTTACCTCAAATCGCCGAGATCGCTTGTGGGCGAAGCACTGGATTTGATATATCAACTAAGGAAAGTTCTAGCGCCTCGCCCGCAAGCGACCTCGGCGATTTGACAGTAAATGTGGTCTTACAAACGACTTTGTGTCTTCACTAAGGTATTTAACCTCCTGCGTACATCTGTACTACTCATAGTACGTTAGAAACATAAAAATAAACTTATAAAAAATGTATCTGGTATAGTCTTCCACACGGCGATCGGTTTTTATGACTCTGTCACTTTCCTACTGTAGTTGTAAAGTGAACAAAGACGAGGTTGCACCAGGTAGTTTCCCATTGTAGAATGCTGGGATTCCTCATTCAGGGCCGCGTTAAAGAACACACTTTACTTGCAAATTGTAGAAAAATAATAGGGTGATATATAAATACTCATTATTCTCTTATTTGTTGTATTTCTAATATTAAGTACATATTTTTTCTAAGAAATGTTTTGAGAATGCATGCATTGTCTAATTACAAAAANGGACCTCAATAATAAAAAAAAAATTTTGGCATTCCATTTAAAAAAGAAAAGTTGACAGTCGCCATTTTGAAATAATTCTTCCAATTGAAAATGTGGCATCACCATCGTGTAGAGAATGACCCAAAACATATTACTGCCAAATATTTTGAAAGTAGTACCCATAGTGTGGCTAAAAAAAAATAACGCCTTAAATCGCCGAGGTCGCGTGCGGGCGAGGCGCAGGGTTTGATATTTTATCAACTTAGGAGAATTCTAGCACCTCGCCCGCAAGTGACCTCGACGGTTTGAGAGTAAATGTCGTCTTACAAAGGACTTTGTGTCTTCACTAAGGTATTTAACCTCTTGCGTACATCTGTACTACTCATAGTACGTTAGAAACATAAAAATAAACTCATAAAAAATGTGTCTGGTACTCAGGAGGATAAGGAATGATTTCGCCTCAAATCGCCGAGGTCGCTTGCGGGCGACGCCGTGGATTTGATATATCAACTAAGGAGAATTCTAGCGCCTCGCCCGCAAGCGACCTCGGCGGTTTGAAAGTAAAGCTAAGTTTCCACATGCACGGATTAAAAATGCTTCATTTGCATATGGAAATAGCAAAAAACAGCTGGCGCCAATAAATTAGTGCCAATAATTATAGCGCTAATAAAGTTGACGCTACTTCTACTTTTTGGCGCCAGTAATAGTATTTATAAAGAAAACGTGTAACTATTAACGTGTTCGTCCAATTAAAATGAACAAATCCGCTAATAAACCGTCCAAAAAATCAGAACACACAGTACTATTTCTAGAAACGTATGAGTAATATCCATGTTTGTGGAATCAGAAAATTCCACAATATAAGGACCGACAAGCACGAAATGAAGCTGTCTGAAGGATAGTTGAAATTATGAAGAAAACTGTTCCTAATTTTGACGAAACTTCTTCAAAAGCAAAAAAAGTTGTGCTTTTTGGCAAACGATATACAGGGTGTATCTGAATGACGTGCCCAAACTTCAGGGGGTGATTCTTTAGGCTATTTTAAAGGTACTTTCTCATATAAACTATCAGCGATTTCGACTCCCCTGCGGAGCTACGCCCCTTCAAAAATGGCGAAAAATTTTGGTTTATTTTTTTTTTTCCCGAAAACCATTAACATCTAGAAAATGAAATTTGGGAAATATGTTTAGCTTATAATAGGGCATGTTTCGAGCCTATTTGTACTTTCAATCTTCTCTTCTAAGTTACTAAACATAACCACCCCCGTTCAATTTTTGTCTAGATCTTTTTTATGACGATNTTTCTAATATTAAGTACATATTTTTTCTAAGAAATGTTTTGAGAATGCATGCATTGTCTAATTACAAAAAAGAGCGGAGGATAATTAGATTCTTTAAAATGTTGTTATTCTATTATTTAGACATTCCTAAAATTAATATTTTTTCTAAGACTTTTATATTAGTTTTTATAATTAAATTTTAGTTGTTATAACTAAACTTTGGTTTTTTTATTAAATTTTAGTTTAAAACAATTTAAATTCGACCCTGTCTTTGTCTGACTGTTATAAATCTTTTCAAGTACTCAAGCGGGCAAAAATCACCCCGGCTTTTATTTATGACTGTCATAAAAACCGATCTGGATGTGGAAGAGTATACTCAGGAGGATAAGGAACGATTTCGCCTCAAATCGCCGAGGTCGCTTGCGGGCGGGGCCCTGGATTTGATATATCAACTAAGGAGAATTCTAGCGCCTCGCCCGCAAGCGACCTCGACGGTTTGAGAGTAAAGCTAAGTTTCCACATGTACGGATTAAAAATGCTTCATTTGCATATGGAAATAGCAAAAACCCGCTGGCGCCAATAAATATATGCCAGTAATCATAACGCCAATAAAGTTGACGCTACTTCTCCTTTTTGGCGCCAGTAATAGTATTTATAAAGAAAACGTGTAACTATTAACGTGTTCATCTAATTAAAATGAACAAATCCGTTAATAAACCGTCCAAAAAATGAGAACAAACAGTACTATTTCTAGAAACGTATGAATAATATCCATGTTTGTGGAATCAGAAAATTCCACAATATAAGGACCGACAAGCACGAAATGAAGTTGTCAGAAGGATAGTTGAAATTATGAAGAAAACTGTTCCTAATTTTGACGAAACCTCTTCAAAAGCAAGGATGTAAAAGAATCTCCAGAGGCCAAAAATGTTAAAGTTGCTTGCAGTTTTACGTGAGCTGGGCATCTCTCATATACGTATGTTGTTTTTGTATTTTAGAGGATTCAACAAAAATATGAAACTCTCTTCAGTCATTCTTAAATGATTAAAAAATGCTTCCTGATCTTCATGGCATAATTCTCTAATTAAAGTACTAGACGCACCTAGGTTATTTCTACGTGCAATCGACGATCTAACCCAGCAACTATGTTTTCGCTTTCTTTTTTTGTTAATAACACATTAATGCCAACGCGAAGTACATCACTTGACGCCATTTTTATTATTAAATTATAATTTTAGTACTGTGCCAGTACACAATTATAACATTTATGTGGAAACAACTTCTGACGCCAGCTAATTGGTGCCAGTAATCCGTGCATGAGGAAACTTAGCTTTAATCTCGTCTTATAAGGGACTTTGTGTCTTCACCAAGATATTCGCCTCAAATCGCCGAGGTTGCTTCCGGGCGAGGCGCTGGATTTGATATATTAACTTAGGAGAATTTTAGCGTCTCGCCCACAAGCGACCTCGGCAGTTTGAAGCTAAATGTCTTTTTAAAAGAAATATTGTGTCTTCTCCAAGATTTATAAAGAACAAATTCGGCGGAAAGAATGTTAAGTAAGGTTAGTTTTCTTTTGCATTATCAATAATACTTGTCATATAACAAGAACATGAGAATAAAACTTGACGGCCTGCTGCTAAGAAACATCACAAAGTCATTTCTCTCACCCATCTATACAGGGTGTGTCAAATGTCTGGAATATAGCCAATAACTTCGCCATTTGTGGTTTTAAAGAAAAATATTTCAAATACAAGTATCATTATTAATCGTGGCGCATTTTTTTTTCTATTTGTTTGTTTGTATTGTTTTTTGTTTCGTTACTATGGCAACCAATGTTGTTATTTTAAATATTTCTTTTGCATACTTTAATAGAGGATAAGTCCCTCTATACGATGAACATATTAAATCATATGGTTGCATAAGAAAAAAATGCTTCTGAAAATATGAAATCAGCAAATTACAATCAAAGTGGGCGCCGAAATAGTGCCGTTGACAGCTTTAAATGTCAAAAAATTGACAGTTTAAACAAATATGGCGCAATTAAGCGAACGACAAAGAATCCAAATGTTTGTGAATTTATCTTCTATCAAGATATGCATCCCATTTAAAATAACGATGTTGGTTGCCATAGCAACGAAACAAAAAAAAATGTAAACAAGCAAATATCGCTAAAAAATGCGCCACAATTAATAATGGCGAAGTTATTGGCTATATTCTAGACATTTGACACACCTGTATATTTTTTATCATTCTTTTTTTATTAATACTTTAAATGAAGCAATCTTTTTCAGAATTTAGAACAATGGACTTTAAGAATGTCTTGGCTAGATCTTCAATTAATGTTTAAACAATTTGCAAGTAATTCATCAGAATTAAATCAGTGGTTGGATACTGTAGCAAAAGCGGCTATTGATGTTTTTCAACTAAACAGTACATGTTCATTACAAAACCTTGACGATAAAAAGTTAGTATTATATTATTATATTAAATACAATTTCATTTAAATTGAGTTTAGATCCGAATCGAAAAGCAAAAGACAAGATTCAATTTGGTTGGTAGCCCCTTTAGTTTCTAAACTTCCGAGTGCGGTGCAAAGTCGAGTTTTAAAGGTTGCTGGGCAAGTATTAGAAAGCGGCGGTTGGTGTAGAGATCCGAAAACGACCAGGCGATCTTCCGGTGATAATCAGAGTTTGTTGAGTCACCAACCTTTTCTTAGTTTGGTCTTGACTTGTCTTAAAGGACAAGAAGAAGGACAACGAGAAGGATTATTATCTTCGTTACATCAACAGTTATCTCAGGTTTGTTCGATTAAAAAATTAAAATTAAATTTAATTGATTTTATGATTGTTTATTAGTTGGTTGTGTTGGCCAGAGAAGGAAATTTATCTGATATAATAAATAATGAACGTACATTAGATGGATTACAATTACGATTTGCTTTAGTAGGAGGAGTTTTTGACGCTTTCCAGAAAAATATGTCGGTTACAATCGATTGGGCGTTACTTTTAGTACAATTAGTAACAAACGGCCTTATAGATCTCCATACACATAGTGAATTATTTACTACTGTTATTGATATGTTATCGACTTTGGTACATTCAGCTTTAGCAACAGATAGTCAGGTAAAATAATTTTTAATTATAAGACTAGACTAGAAATATTTGGGATTAGCCATTCGTCTCTTAAGACTGCCAAATCCGAATGTTTTTAGTTCTAGATTTGGTTTTAGTTCAATTTGTAATTAATTAAATTGATAGTTATGAAATCATTCTTTTTTAAATAGGAGGATAGCCGAAAAATGTATTTAAATTTAATCAAAAAATTAAAAAAGGAATTAGGTGATAGACAAACTCCCTCTTTATTACATATAAGACAATTACTACCATTACCAAGGTACGTAAATGAAGTGATTACTGTTGAACCATCTGGTATCTTAACAGACAGCAAAGGAAATAAGATTAGTTTTGATAGTATTGACAAGAAACACGGACTTTCAGTAAGTTTGAGTTAATCGCGTCCATTAATCATGTTTTATCAACAGCTTTTTTTTATTAATTCATTGCTTCTTTAATAATAAATAAAAATAACGACAACTTAGGTCTCGGATCATCAAAAAGTAAGCAGTTGGGACGTCTTAGAAGGAATGAAAAATCCAGCTCCGCTATCTTGGTCTTGGTTCGGCGCCGTCCACATCCAACGTCAACCATTAGCTTGCGAAGAAACCCATCGTTTATTGAAATATCACACACACAGCTTAACAAAACCGTCTTCTTATTATCTTGAACCACCGCCTCTTCCACCTGAAGATCTCGAACCATTACCTGATAAATCCGTTAGTTTATTACTTTTTTTTAGTTCTTATTTGCTTCGCGGAAAATTAAATTATTTTTTGGTTTATTATTTTCCTTTTTTGTTTGCTTATTTTATTTGCGTCTATTAAACGTATTCTAAAGGAGTCTGACCTGAAGGCTGATACCCCGTCTTCTGTGGACCAGAGCCCTTTGGGTGCATTCCCCGGATCCAAAGGACGAGGAAAAGGACAAAAGCGGAAGCCGAAAAAAGGAGCACCCGGACAGATGCCTGTTACGAGTATGACGATGGGGCAACAACACATGGGGCAAGTTCAACCGAATATGACTGGAATGCAGGGGGTTCAACAACAAAATCCTCAAATTCAACACATGGGAAATTATGGGCAAGGACCTGGAGGGATGCAACAACCGCAGCCTAATCAACAATTTGCTGCCAATCCGAATCAACAACAGTGGTATAATCAACAAACTTATTATCCCCAACAAATTAATAATGGTATAATGATATATTAATAATTAATTAAGGGGATTTTGATAAAAAAATTTTTAGTGAATCGTTTTGAACGCCCACAACAAATTAATCCATCAAAACAAGCTCTCTCTAATATGTTAAGACAACGGCTTCCTCACACTCAATTTATGCCCAATCAATCTCAAACCGGTCCTAATCCTCAAGCTGCTGGTTATGGACCGATGCAACGACACGCTTTTCCAAGACAATCATTACGACAGCAACATCCATCAGCTATGCAATCAAATCAGGTAAAATCAAACGAATACAATTTAACGAGCGGGCGCGCTGTGTGATAAATTTATGACAATTTTCGTTTTTATAATAATATATCTCCTTATATTATGCATTTGAAAAGATTTAACGCTAAAGTATTCATGTAGTTTTAACATGATGAAAAAAAATATATTGACGTCTTTATGGCAAAAAAAGTTATAAAAGACAAAAAATTTACACATTAATTGCTAATTTATAAGGCTGTATTTATATTATGTGATGTATTAAGGGATATAAATGTATTATAAATAGCTTTTAAGTCATACATGAAGGTTTCGGATCGTTTGCACATTTTTGAATCGAATTTTTTTTCATATTTCAATATTTTCGGTTTTTTGTGAGTTTATGGAAATATTCAATATATTCAAAGGTTTAAGACGGCTAAACCTGAATGATTTTAGTTCTAGGTCTACTGCTAGATGTCCACTTGAGAGAAACTTTTGATCCACTTGAGACTGCTTTAGCTCTCTTCTATAAAACTTGCGAGAGCTTTCTCTCAGATAGTTTTCTCAGGACCGTGTCCACTAGCGAAATGTGTCCGTGCTATGGAAAGTAAAATTTATATTCTTTCAGTGTTTGGTGTGCCTAAACATGGATGCAAAAAAAATTGCAAGTGCAATAGTGTTGTACAAAATTTAAAAAAAAAAACAAGCAGAAAAATAAAAAGAAGCTGTTGGGTGAAACCACGGATTTGGCCTAGATTAGAGCTGGATGTCAACAAATATACTGGATTCACAAAAAAGTGAACTCGATTGATTTAAGGGCACTTATAAATGCAAATTATACGTTTATTGTCGTGCACATGATAGCTTAATAGAGGCTTGGCAGTATTTTGGAAATTGATTAGAAAATATAAAGTTAAACGTCTCAATTGCTGAAAGAGACTAGAAATCGTTGGCAGAAGACTAAGTATTACTAATGAAAGACTAGATGTTGCAAATTAAGCATCCTTTCTACAGAAGATTTCATACTACTACCAGAAGACGAAATACTGTTGGTAGAAGACTAGATATTGCAAACGAAACACATCCTTCTTACAAAAGACTACACATTACTACTAAAAAACCAAATACTGTTAGCAGAAGACTTAATTTTACTGTCAGATCAAATTATGTTGTTAGAAAACTAGATATTACCAATGCCAGCTCCACCATATTACCGCGGAAACGCTCAAATTATGCAAAATAATGCTATGCAACAAAATCAATTCCAACGACAACAGTAAAGAATGCGACAAATGATGAGGATGCATCAAGGGGGGCCTCAAGGTCAACCAGGATTGGTCGCTCATTTACAAAGGGGACAAATGAATCTTAAACGCCTCAATTGCTGANGAAAGTAAAGTTTATATTCTTTCAGTGTTTGGTGTGCCTAAACATGGATGTAAAAAAATTGCAAGTGCAATAGTGTTGTACAAAATTAAAAAAAAAACAAGCAGAAAAATAAAAAGAAGCTGTTGGGTGAAACCACGGATTTGGCCTAGATTAGAACTGGGTGTCAACAAATATACTGGATTCACAAAAAAGTGAACTCGATTGCTTTAAGGGCACTTATAAATGCAAACTATACGTTTATTGTGCACATGATAGCTTAATAGTGGCTTGGCAGTATTTTGGAAATTGATTAGAAAATATAAACTTAAACGTCTCAATTGCTGAAAGAGACTAGAAATCGTTGGCAGAAGACTAAGTACTACTAATGAAAGACTAGATGTTGCAAATTAAGCATCCTTCCTACAGAAGATTTCATACTACTACCAGAAGACGAAATACTGTTGGTAGAAGACTAGATATTGCTGGCAGAATACTAAGTATTGCTAGTAAAAGACTAGATATTGCAAATGAAGCACATCCTTCTTACAAAAGACTACACATTACTACTAAAAAACCAAATACTGTTAGCAGAAGACTTAATTTTACTGTCAGATCAAATTATGTTGTTAGAAAACTAGATATTACCAATGCCAGCTCCACCATATTACCGCGAAAACGCTCAAATTATGCAAAATAATGCTATGCAACAAAATCAATTCCAACAACAACAGTAAAGAATGCGACAAATGATGAAGATGCATCAAGGGGAGCCTCAAGGTCAACCAGGATTGGTCGCTCATTTACAAAGGGGACAAATGAATCTTAAACGCCTCAATTGCTGAAAGAGACCAGATATCGCTGACAGAAGACTAAGTATTACTAATGAAAGACTAGATGTTGCAAATGAACCATCCTTCCTACAGAAGACTTCACACTACTACCAAAAAACGAAATACTGTTGGTAGAAGACTAGATGTTGCTGCAAAAGACTAGATATTGCTGGCAAAATACTAAGTATTGTTAGTGAAAGACTAGATATTGCAAATGAAGTACATCCTACTTATAAAAGACAAAACACTACTACTAAAAAACCAAATACTGTTAGCAGAAGACTTAATTTTACTGTCAGATCAAATTATGTTGTTAGAAAACTAGATATTACCAATGGTACAAATCCCGTTTAAATTTTTGCCCAATACTTGTTAAAATTACATCCCTCGCATCCCGATTATGTCCTTTAGATTTGGTATTCCAAAGAACTGAATTTTCTTCATACACTTCAATTAATTCAAATATTTCTTCTTGGGACCATTTTCTTCTAGGCGTCATCTTTAAACGTGTTATATTGAGAAAACTCGCAGCAAAATTTGAACCATGTTCGTTTTATGACAGTTACTCTCACGATAGATAAATTGTGCGTGTCCACTGGAGTACAAGTCTCAACCTGTTCACTCTCCGAAAGTTGATGGAGGGACTCTCTGATAATTACTCTCAGATGCGTGTCCACCAGAAAAAATACTCTCGAAAGCATTTCTCGCAAGTGGACACCTAGCTTAATGTTACTTCTAGAGACAGTTGTAGGTAGCACTAGTTAGTATAAGATATCACTATGTTGCATATTTTTATTCAACTAAAACTAGAACTAACACTAGACCTAGTTTTACACTATCTGTTACTGTTTTATTAAAAACAACGTAATATTTATTAATACGGACCAGATGTCATAAAATTTATGACACGCGCCCGCTCGAAGGTTAATTATAATTTAATAATCATTTTTTTAGGCAATGTTCCAACAACCCTACAGTAACATCCCCACAGGAATGAACCAAGCTTACGGTAATTACCCAGCTACTCAATCCCAAATGATGGCGAATACAATGCAAACTAACCAACAAATGATGCAACCCAATCAAGCGACGATGTACGCAAGTCAACAGCAAGGTTTTACCCAACCAAGAGGTCCCCAACCTGATTATAGAGGAATGGGGCAAACACCGCGTCCTAATTACATGCAACAAGCACCCAATGTGACCATGAATCCTAATATGAACGCGATGGGTCAAATGGGAGGTGGAGGGCAAGGCGGTCCAGCTCCACCATATTCCCGCGGAAACGCTCAAGTTATGCAAAATAACGCTATGCAACAACAAAATCAATTCCAACAACAACAACAGCAAAGAATGCGACAAATGATGGGGATGCATCAAGGGGGGCCTCAAGGTCAACCAGGATTGGTCGCTCATTTACAAAGGGGACAAATGAATCCTAATCCGTACCAACAACAACCACCACCCTATAATATGGGATAATATAGAAAGTTAAAGATCTAAAATGTGTTCCATGGTGTATCAGTATTGTATGAGAAATTTTGAAGGAATTCTTTGATGCTATGTGTCTATTTTAATAAAATTAAAACAAATTCAATAGTATTTTTTATTTACTTTTAAAGCATGTAGTAACAGATCAAGAAATGTGATAAGCTGTCATTAAAGTACAACCTAAATCTAAGAGTTGGATATATTCTGAAGAACCATCTTGTAAACGATAACTCGATAACGCAAGTTTTTCACCAATAATAGCTTTTTGTTTATTATTAAATTCATTAGACTCAATCAATAAATCATTCATTTGCTCCAATATCTAATTTAAAGTAGAAGTAAATAATATAAAAAATTATTTCAACTCATTCCCTTTTACCTGCAACCCAGAATAAGCCTCCAACATAAATTTCTCAATAAATTCCTCCAATTTATTATAATTATTAGTTTTACAAACGTTCAAATAATCATCAAGCCATTCTTTTGGAACAACTCCAGTAACTTCTAAAACATCTTTTATACCAAAGTCCACGCCTTTTAATCTAGAACAACTTTGAAGGCAAGTAATTGCTCTTCTCATATCACCACCACTAGTTTCAACCAGTTTATTTAAAACATCATCATTGGCTTTAACACCTTCTTTCTCACAAATAAGACTCAATCTACTTATTAAAAAAAATGTTACTAAAATAATTAATGTAGGATTATAATTTACCTTTCATAAATCATTGATTCATTTAATGGTTTAAATCGAAATTTAGTACACCTTGATGTTAAAGGCTCAATAATTCTAGAAACGTAATTACAAAGTAAACAAAATCTTGTTGATTTCGTTTCTTTTTCCATTGTTCGACGTAAAGCAGCTTGAGCTGCATGAGTCATTGAATCGGCTTCATCTAAGATCACGATTTTAAATGGAGGGCAAGGTTTTCCACTTAAAAAGAAAAAAATTACTTTTAAAATCAATGAAAAAGTAGTTAAGTAAAATTTAATTACTCTGGTCGAGTAGCACTTGCAGTGAGTTGAGCAAAAACTTTAACTTTATCTCGAATAACTTGAATACCCCGTTCATCGGAAGCGTTCAATTCCAAAATGCGGTCTTTATAAATATCTCCAAATAATTGTCTCGCCGCTGCGAGAATTGTACTGGTTTTTCCTGTACCCGGGGGTCCATAAAACAATAAATTCGGTAAATCCGCACCTTCTATACATTGTTGGAGTACGGTAACAGCTTCGTTTTGTTCGACGACATCAGATACAGTTTTGGGGCGACTAAAACATTTATTTCGATATTAAAAAGTGAGGTTAAAAATTAAAAACTTACTATTTTTCAACCCAAGGTATAGATTTAGACTTTTTAACTTGTTTAGATGAACCTGAATTCGATTTATCTTCAACATTTATTTTCCCCGACTTTAAAAACGATTGCATTTTAATAAATAATTATGAATTTATGATTTTTTAGGTTGGAATGTTTAAAAATTATCCCGCCAGACGTATTGCCAAATTTAAAAAATGATGCGCGCGCAGAATGGATATTTTAAAGTTGAACAGTTCAATTAAAAACGTGGCTTTAAAAGGAAATCACATCGAAAAAATGTTTGACTAACTGGAGTATTAATATATTACTCTACTATCGTACCAACCTAATTTAATGTATGCAGAAGTGTCATTTCTAGTGTAAATTTTAGCCGGGCGTCGGTGATGGCAGAACGTACTCTACAATAATAATAATAATCGTGCATTTTCCACGTTCGTTTTTTCCTTTCGCGAAAATGCCTCGAGTTAAAGCATCACCGAAAAAGTGTATAAAAACCAACATAAACCAGCCGAATAATTCCTGGGTGTTCTTATTAAAAGGTAAAAAGAAATCGGCTGGCTTTCTTTTGTGCGAGTTTTTTTTTAACCAATCAATTTTCCCGGGATCGTTTATTTTCTATCCTCTTGTTTTGATGAAGCAATCAATCCAAACAATAATTATTTCATTCATTCAGAATACTCTACATCCGAATAAAACCCGTTCACTTTATTTGTTTACAAGTTTACGCGATTGTTTTTATTACTTTTTTTTAATTTTGAATTAAGCTCTAATTATTTCCGTTTAGGTGAAGCTTTAGAATTATCTGAACAATATACTGGAACTGGAACTCCCGATATCGTTACTTTAAGGCATCCTAATACTGGGGAATCCGCCGTTTTTTTATTTTCACCGGCCAATAACTCTGTACAAGAAATTTTAACGTTTTCCGAAGGGAAGAGATCTTGGTTTATAGATGAAAGTGTTAAAAGTGATGGGAAAATGCACCTCTCTACTCCAATAGATCCAATATTTTTAGGTAAATACAATTTTAATTCTTTTAGTTTAAAATGTCATAAATAAAATTTTAGGTTATGTTTTTGTCATTAATCAAAATTAATAGCGTTTTAATAGAACAACTTTTAATATTTCTGATATTTTTATGGATTAAAATTTATGTTGATTTTATAAATATCCTCAAAAAATATATAGTTAATTTAATTAATATTTTATATTTATAATTTTTATTTTGACATTTAATTCAACTACCGCCATCTATTAATAGAAATATTAATTAAATTAATATTTATAAATCAAATAATATTAAAGAATAATTATTAATAAAATTATTGTATTAATTTAGAAAAGTATTATTTTAAATTAGATCGTTTATAATAATAATATGTATTTTTTTTTCAGTTTTGCCATACTTAAAGAAATATTGCAGCACCCAAGCGATCCCTTTAGATCAATTATTAAGGGATGAAGAATATCCAGAAACAGAAAGACTGTTGAAATCTAGCGGATTAAAATATTTGAATCTAATTGCAGATAGAAAAGTAAATTATCCTACTGGTGTGAAGTTATCCATAAATCCAAGCCATAAACTTAAATCGTTCATAATTCTGTAACCAATATGATTTGGGTCACCAAATTTCACATATGGGACACTCTTATCCTCAAGAACAGTTTAGATCCCCCGTTTGGTAAAAATAGTATATTATTATACTAGCATATAATGAGGGCTATTATTCACTAAAGTTAAGTTTAAACTGAGTGAATAATAGCTCATTATATGTGAGTAGAATGCTACTCACATGACTACTATGACTACCATGACTACCATGACTACTATTGAAATTGATTCCATAAATTTATTTTTTTAAATAAATTTTTGAATAAAGTTGAAACGTCAATGTGACAGAAATTTAGTGTTACCAACTGTAACCAACTTCACAACAATTTGTCAAAATTAAATGTCAATTTTATTATGTCAAACCTTTAAAAGGTCCTAAAAAATTAAATTATAGTGATGTTTTTTGAAATTTTGACGTTTTTCAACTCCCACCCTTGAAAAAGGGATGTTTTCACTCTGATAAACCGCGGATGTGACTTTGGGGGTGAATTTGACCCCGATGGGTACTTCTGAAATTGATGAAATTTTAGAATGATTTAGAGGGTGCCTTTCGCGATTTAAATCGACCCTCAAAACACCGTAACTGTTAAGGGTTTTTGAGAAAAATAATTTGTTGTTAGACTCTACACATATATAGCGCGATGCGGACTTTAGGGGAGAGGTATTTAAAGGGCACTTCTGAAATTGATGATATTTTAGCCATATCAATTATCCTTGTGAATGTGTTTTTTTTAGGAACCAATCATGATGGTCTACCCCACCCATGTATGGATTATAATGGTGAATCTTGGCTGAGTAACTTACACTGTTAATTTTTGTTCTCTGCTCCATCTGCAACTGATGCTACTGGTTTTATGGTATCAAAATTTGTGGCTATACAAACATATTTGTTATCATTCCATTTTACTAGCAATATTTTGTTTTTGCTATCAAATCTTTGATCATAGGATTCTGGAGCTAACTTTTTAGACTTTTTGTAGCTGTTAGCAATTTCAAAATAACTCTAGTGCCAAAAAGTTTTGATTGTGATCCGCTTTCCTTGCCAGTATAAGGAAAAAAACAATACCAATCCATCTTCACCACAAAGTGACCAGAGTTTGTTATCAAATCGTATTGGCTTACACTTTATGAACTGTTTTAGTATGTGGTGATTGTAATATCTTACAATCATTTCATCTATGGACAGATTTTTTTGAAAAATATCAAAATTTTGAAAGCTTGCATTTATTATCTCTAAGAACGGTCTAATTTTAAAAGATTTATCGCCCTTACTTTCATTACTTTTCTGAAAATGTATCAAAGACTTCATTTGAAGATAGGCATTTCTGCCCATGGCATTTTTAACAATAGGTTTTCCCAAATCGTCGTCGTCTGACCATTAATCGCGCTCAGATNCACCCAAGCGATCCCTTTAGATCAATTATTAAGGGATGAAGAATATCCAGAAACAGAAAGACTGTTGAAATCTAGCGGATTAAAATATTTGAATCTAATTGCAGATAGAAAAGTAAATTATCCTACTGGTGTGAAGTTATCCATAAATCCCAGCTATAAACTTAAATCGTTCATAATTCTGTAACCAATATGATTTGGGTCACCAAATTTCACATATGAGACTCTCTTACCCTCAAGAACAGTTTACAACCCCCATTTGGTAAAAATAGTATATTATTATACTAGTGTATAATGAGGGCTATTATTCACTAAGGTTAAGTTTAAACTGAGTGAATAATAGCTCATTATATGTGAGTAGAATACTATACTTTGTCCATGACTACTATTGAAATTGATTCCATAAATTTATTTTTTTAAATAAATTTTTGAATAAAGTTGAAACGTCAATGTGACAGAAATTTAATGTTACCAACTGTAACCAACTTCACAATAATTTGTCAAAATTAAATGTCAATTTTAGGAAACGTCATATTTTTTTATGAAAATTAATTAATTTATGCTTAAATTATAGGAAAGAAGAAACTTGTCTAGGTTTATGTCAAACCTTTAGAAAGTCCTAAAAAAATTAAATTATATTAATGTTTTTTGAAATTTTGACGTTTCAAATAATTATTATTAGTCTGTCAAGTTGATTCGCTATTACCTTTTTATTTTAGAAAACTCATTTTTAAGGTATATATTATAAGGTAGTCGTGAACAAAAATTTTTTTCAACTCCCACCCCCAAAAAAGGGATGTTTTCACCCTGATAGGCACATTATAAACCGCGGATGGGACTTTGGGGGTGAATTTGACCCCGATGGGCACTTCTGAAATTGATGAAATTTTAGAATGATGGTGCCTTTAGCGATTTAAATCGACCGTCAAAACGCAGTAACCCTTAAGGGTTTTCGAGAAAAATAATTTGTTGTTAGACTCTACACATACAGGGTGTGTCAAATGTCTGGAATATAGCCAATAACTTCGCCATTTGTGGTTTTAAAGAAAAATGTTTCAAATAAAAGTTTCGTTATTAATTGTGGCACATTTTTTGGCGATATTTGCTTGTTTACATTGTTTTTTGTTTCGTGTGTTCGTTGTTTGCATCCCATTTAAAATAACAATATTGGTTGCCATAGCAACGAAAAAAAAATAATTCAAACAAGCAAATACAGATAAAATATGCGCCACGATTAATAATGATACTTGTATTTGAAACATTTTTCGCAACAAATGGCGAAGTTATTGGCTATATTCCAGACATTTGACACAACCTGTATATAGCGCGACGCGAACTTTAGGGGAGAGTTTGACACCAAAGAGCACTTCTGAAATTGATGATATTTTAGCCATATTAATTATCCTTGTGAATGTGTTTTTTTAGGAACTAATCATGATGGTCTACCCCACCCATGTATGGATTATATTGGTGAATCTTGGCTGAGTAACTTACACTTTTACTTTTTGTTCTCTGCTCCATCTGCAACTGATTTACCAGCAATATTTTGTTTTTGCTATCAAATCTTTGATCATAGGATTCTGGAGCTAACTTTTTGGACTTTTTGTAGCAGTTAGCAATTTCAAAATAACTCTAGTTCCAAAAAGTTCGGATTGTGATCCACTTTCCTTGCCAGTATGAAGAAAAAAGCAATAGCAATCCATCTTCGCCACAAAGTGCCCAGAGTTTGTAACCAAATCGTATTGGCTTACACTTTATGAACTGTTTTAGAATGTGGTGATTGTAATATCTTACAATCATTTCATCTATGGACAGATTTTTTTGAAAAATACCAAAATTTTGAAAGCTTGCATTTATTATCTCTAAGAACGGTCTAATTTTAAAAGATTTATCGCCCTTACTTTCATTACTTTTCTGAAAATGTATCAAAGACTTCATTTGAAGATAGGCATTTCTGCCCATGGCATTTTTAACAATAGGTTTTCCCAAATCGTCGTCGTCTGACCATTAATCGCGCTCAGGGATTTGGGTATATGTTCTATTTGGCATACATTTACAGAAAACACCTGTTGCATCCGCATTGCATACATTTCTAATTATTTCAGCTAATTTTGCAGGAAATTCTTTAGCTGCCAGAACATCTGCAGATCCAATTCTGCAGTCTTTGTAAAAATCCAATCTTCCATCCTGTACTTGCAGAAAATTCAAACTTGGTTTTTTTTCTGGGTCGACTTTTGTGGTTCCATTTCTTTAATCTGGTTGTAGATTCTTAATGCTATCTGCTTGATATTATTTCGTCAACCCCGGTATTCCCCGGTTTTTGAGACATATCCTGCATCCATATTATCACAAAATCCATCTTCGCCACAAAGTGCCCAGAGTTTGTTACCAAATCGTATTGGCTTACCCTTTATGAACTGTTTTAGTATGTGGTGAACGTAATATCTTACAATTATTTCATTTATGGACAGATTTTCTTGAAAAATACCAAAATTTTGAAAGCTTGCATTTATTATCTCTAAGAACGGTCTAATTTTAAAAGATTTATCGCCCTTACTTTCATTACTTTTCTGAAAATGTATCAAAGACTTCATTTGAAGATAGGCATTTCTGCCCATGGCATTTTTAACAATAGGTTTTCCCAAATCGTCGTCGTCTGACCATTAATCGCGCTCAGGGATTTGGGTATATGTTCTATTTGGCATACATTTACAGAAAACACCTGTTGCATCCGCATTGCATACATTTCTAATTATTTCAGCTAATTTTGCAGGAAATTCTTTAGCTGCCAGAACATCTGCAGATCCAACTCTGCAGTCTTTGTAAAAATCCAATCTTCCATCCTGTACTTGCAGAAAATTCTGGAAAAAAAATTCAGAAAAATTTGTTTTTTTATGGGTATCTGGTTGTACATTCGTACTGCTATCAGCTTGATATTATTTCTGTCAACAGGTATGGGTTTTTGAGACATATCCAGTATCCATATTACCAGAACCTTTTCCATTTTCAACTTTGCAATATCTCTTGTGTATGATGCTGGATGAGCACTTAATTTAGTCCCAGCAATAACAGATTTTCTAGCCGCATTCTCATTTTGGTTTTAATATGGAGTTCTGTAACTTGATGCATGCGCGTAGAATCGTAGAAGTTAAGGGTAACGGTGTTTTGATGGTCGATTTAAATCGCTAAAGGCACTCTCTAAATCGTCCTAATATTTCATCAATTTCAGAAGTGACCATTGAGGTCAAATTCACCCCAAAGCCCGCATCGCGCTATATCTGTATATAACCTAACAATTTTTTTTTTTTAATTGGGGTTGGGTTGGGTGTAAGCTGTTCTTGAGGGTAAGAGTGTCCTGTATATGAAATTTGGTAACTCATATCGTATTGGTTACGAAATTATGAATGATTTAAGCTGATGGATAACTTCACACCAGTAATTATCCTAAATGAATTTCATTTAATTTAAATTATTTTCTTCTATGTTTTAGGGAGATGATGATTTAAATGCCTTTAAATACAATGAAGAAAAAACATTAGCATGGCTTAAGAAAAAGACAGAACGAGTGGCAGATATATTAAAACAAAAAAATATTCACGTAACGGGCGGGGCGGCATCCGCAACATTTATAAAAGTTTCATCAAAAGGTGAAACCCCCGATAACAATGCATATCTAAGGTACGCAGCCGGAATCGTGTCCGAATACTTAATGGACGATCTCAGTCAGAAATTGCTCAAATATTTGAATTTGCCGGAAGAGACGCAAACGGGTAGTTTAAAACGGAAAAGCATCGTTCCGGAGCAATATCCGGACGCGAAACGCGTCAAATCGGATGAGGACGCGATGAAAGGCTCGAACGTTTTAGACTTGAGTAAACCCGAGCAGAAAGTTTCGGCGAAATCCACGCAATCAATCGCGAAAGATAAAGCTAGAGCGAAAGCCGCCGTAGGCACGAAAAGTATTACGTCGTTTTTTAAGAAAACTTGAATTATGTTGGGGTAAAAATTAGTATTTAATATGGTAATTTTTTTTATTGTACAGTTTTTGGTCCGTGGCTAAATATTAAGAAAAAAAATTATTACAAAACGAATGCTTATCGCACACAATTTTTTGAAACGGTGCTGTTTTTTTTTGTATTTATAGTTTTCTTTTTTATTAAGCTTCCTAATAAACGAGACTTCCATTTTTATAGTTATACATATACTTGTTTTTTTTTTTATGATTTTTTGATTGTTTTTTTTTTAAATCTATTTATTAAATTATCTACACTCACTCAATATATATTTTTTTTTTTGATTAAGGCCCACTTTTACCACCTCTTGATAAATTTATCCGATAGATAATTACCATGGTTACAGCGGTTTTAAGCGCTCTCATTGGCTAAGAGCGCCAATTTATCTATCGGTTAAATTTATCAAGAGGTGGTAAAAGTGGGCCTAAGACTATTTATTAAAGTATTACTTAAGATAGTGTTTTTTTTTAATTAAATCAACACTCAAAAAAAAATTAATTAACAAGTATTTAAGTACTCATAAATAAATATAAGAATTAATTTCTGTTATCTAATTAATTAATTAATTATTATAAACTCGCAATGCATTTCAGATCTCTCAAAGACTGAAGTATATTTAATAATAATTACTTGTTTATATTAGTTTAAAATTAAGAAGTATCGATATTAATAATCTTAATAAAAAAAAATTAATGAAATATCGATGCTTCAAATTAAAGGAATTCTCTTTGTAAATAAGTAATATTGGTGGGTATCGTTGTTGCTGTACGTTTGTTGCGTCTAAACTAAAAGAAAAATCATTTTTTCCTTTGTAACTTTTTCAGGGACGAATTTAAAACTAGAATTAACATTATCACCAGATTTAACGCTAGAAATAGAACTAGAAACTCTTATATTTGACTCAAAACTAGAACTAATACTACCACTAGAACTAGAATTTTCTAGTGATAGTGCTAGTTCTAGTTTTACTTGTTATTTAGATTCAAACTTGTTACACAACACTTTTGAAAAGTTCTTAACCTAAATGTTTCTAGTTCAAGATCTAGTATTAATTCTAGTGAAATTTGTTAGTTCTAATTTTAGTTCAATGTTTTTAATCTTTTTTGATTGAGTTAAATTTCTTTTGTGCCAGTTACGGATCTTGTCTTTAATTTCCAGTTCCACTAGAACCTAGTTCATATCGAATAGTTGTCAATCGTGAGCAAAAAAAAATTATAATAAAAACGGATAAGTCAGATAAAGATAACTTGTTCCTATGGTCATTGCTGTGGCCGCAAAAAAATCTTAATGTTTAAATGAGTGTACTTAATAATATTAGACTGCTAAAGAATGGAGAGGGAAATAAATTAAAAAAAGATTAATTAAGAAAAAAAAATCATCTTGAAATGTAGGTTAGGCTGCAATAAGATGAAATTGTTCATCTCATAAACTTTAACGTTATTTTTTTATTGTGTACATTTTTGGAACGTTAAACATACTTTTTATTACTTTAATTTTTTTTTTTGTTTTATTTGTTATATCCCATTCGTTTTATTACAATTATATATACAAGCTGTGTACTCTCTTAAAATATATGATTAAAAGAAAGATATATTTTCTTTTATTACTTCAAAACATCTTAATCGGTTTTTGTGCTACGCCCAACCACTTTCGGCATTTTCTTATTTGCCGAATCCTCTAACTCTTTTTGTTTATAGTAATGCGGTGCTACCTCTAACAACCATTTACTTTGAATTTCGATTACTTGTCGCATAAACTCTTTCGTTGTAAAGACTAATTCGTGATACAACACCCAACGTGGCAACTCTTCGAATAAAGAACTGTTTGGATGAATTGAAACGGACTAGAAAATACGAAAATATTAATTACCAAAGAAACGAAAAAGAATTGGTGAAGGAGACGGAGTGGATTTGAGGAAAAGGAGAATTAGTGGTTTAATTGTTACTTTATAACCTGAAAAAATTTCATTCCTTAAATCCCAAATCATTATATTAACATAGAATTTTGTTTGTTCTCTCTCTAATGTTATGGATCTTTTAAAATGTAACATACAAAGTCAACAAACGTATTAACATCGTCAAAAACCACATATTCTTTGTTAACTCTTGTTTAAGCGAAAACCTTACACATAATTTTGCCTTAGTTAAATCTAAAAACATCAACATTAAACAAAGAACACAACTCGAGAGAGGCATATTAAAGAAACAAAGCAGAAAACACTTTCAGTCAATCGATTGTCTCTATACAAGTGGTTATTAACCACCAATGTGGTTATTGATGATTTCATAAAAAACAAAAATTACACCTTTTAAGAACGAGAAGATTTCATAATCAAAATTCTATCAAAAATGCCCACCCTAAGTTACATGAACCAAATTACTCAGACTAAGAAAACATTTTATACAAAAATAATGACAATTTAGCTGATGCAAATAAACATAACAGACTTAAATATACTACCAATCTTAGGAACATAATTTAAACTCAACCAGACATCCATTTAACGGCCATAGAGATTAACTGTATCATCAACAAATTTCCCAATCGCGACAACATAAAAAATAACATCATTCCTATTCTGAAAAGTTATGAAAAATCATGTTGCAATAAAGGGAGGAAGAATAATATACAAAACCTTAAATACAATAAAAAAACAATTAATTTCTTAAAAGAAAATCGTTATAAAGAGATTAAGGGCTTCCAGGAATTTTTAAACTCGCATCTTTTTTGACATTTTTAGGTTATACGAAAATGTTAGTTTTAACTCAATACTATTTTTCTCAATATTTTTCTAATTCAACCCAACGATTATTATACAACGATTTAAACAGAAAGCTTTAAGCTTCAATTTAAAATAAGTTTCATTTCTTAATTTCAATAAACACGGCTTCCAGGAATTTTTGAATTAGCATCTTTTTTGACACTTAGATTATGCGAAAATGTTAGTTTTTGCGCCAACATAAAAAATGACATCGTTCCTATTCTGAAAAGTTATGAAAAATTATGTTGCAATAAAGGGAGGAAGAATAATATTCAAAACCTTAAATACAATAAAAAAACAATTAATTTCTTAAAAGAAAATGGTTATAAAGAGATTAAGAAAGACCCATTAAATTCAATAACAGCTAAAACTAAGAATATCATCAATAAACATAAGGATATTATCACAAAACTTGGTCAAAACCTATATTTTTTAATGCCTATGAACTGCTTCATACCACAACTCTATTCTCTCATAAAACTCCATAAGGACAATTTACCTATTAGGCCTATAACCACATCTTTTGACTCTCCTACCTCTAAAATGATTGATTTTATGTATGGCATTTTTAAACAAATTGATTATAAACCAATACACTCCCTGAAAAACTCATTACAACTCATCGAAAACTTAAAACATATTACACCACATATTAACAATAATACACTGTTATTCTTCGATGTGGTCAATCTATACACAAATGTTGATACCACTTTTACTTTAAAAGCGATTGAAGACATATTCTTTCAACATTTTAAAGATAAAATCATCACTGGTGACTTAATTAAAATACTTAATCACATAATTCTTTTCATTTCTGGATTATTAGATGATTTGTATTTAGATAATATTGAAAAGAACTTTATTGTTAACTCAAAAAATCTGTTCTTTAAGAATATCATAAAATGGTATAGATACGTCGACGACATTATACAGGATGATTCAAAAAATCGCTGACAGACTTCTAGGGCAGGTAATACATCAAAAATTAAGATGAAAAGTCTTAATATACATGGGATCGCAAATGCCTCCTTAACGAGATATAACGGGTCAAAGTTTCTTTAAAATTAAACATTATCTGCAATAAAAAGCCCTTTTTTAAAAATATTTTCAACTCCACTGCCAATTTTGTCAAACGGGCAGTATTTTCGTGTAAAGTGATCATTTATCTATCAATTGGTCTCTTACAAAACTTTGATTAAAGCAACAGTTTTTGATTGAATTAACAAATTTTCTACAAACGTGTTTTTCTTAAAAACCATTGCTTTGATCAAAGTTTTGTAAGAGACCAATTGATAGATAATTGATCACTTTACACGCGTAGAGAGCAATGACGTAGATAATATTTTCAAAAAAGTGCTCTTTATTGCAGATAATGATTAATTTTAAAGAAACTTTGATCCGCTATATCTCGCCAACGAGGCATTCCAACCCCATGTATATTAAGACTATTATAAGACTACATATTAATTTTTCATGTATTATCTACTCTAGAAGTTTAGAAGTTTTTTGAATCACCCTGTATGTGTATGGAATGGAAATAAATTCGATCTTGATAATATGCTATCTTATATGAACAACATCCACAAGAATCTTAAATTCACCTTGGAAATAGAAAAGGACTGCTTAAATTTTTTAGACTTAAAAATACAAAAAATTGACAATAATCTTAAATTTGACATTTTCAGTAAGCCTTCGTCTTTAAATATTGTCATCCCTTATGATTCTTTTCATACCAACAACTACAAATTAGCTGCGTTTCAGGCCTTTATTGTCAGACGATTAAAATATCCTCTAGGCTATACATCCAGACTAAAAGAACTAAATTTTATTAATAGATTAGCAACAGAAAATGGTTATCCAAGTTGTACCATCGATAAATTACTGTATAAAAACCTCATAAAACTAGACCTTCCAGGTCTAGTGTTAGTTCTAGTTTTACACTATCACTAGAACTAACACAAGACCATGGATAAACCCGAATATTTCTAATTTTCGGTCTAGTGTTAGTTCTACTATTAACGCAGAATCTATTGACACATAGTCTATCTAACGACAGGTAGTCAGTCATTATGCATCGAAAGCCTAAGAAAAACAAGAGTACTTCATCCGAAAATATACGTTGTAAGTTGTAATCTCTCTACAATTTCAACCAACCGTATAAGGTCATATTTAGTAGCAGGGATGATTGGGCGAAAGGAGGGCCTCAACTAAAAAGAGGAGCCCTAGCCTGGTACACCGATGCTTNATACAATAACAAAACAATTAATTTCTTAAAAGAAAATGGTTATAAAGAGATTAATAAAGACCCATTAAATTCAATAACAGCTAAAACTAAGAATATCATCAATAAACATAAGGATATTATCACAAAACTTGGTCAAAACCTATATTTTTTAATGCCTATGAACTGCTTCATACCACAACTCTATTCTCTCATAAAACTCCATAAGGACAATTTACCTATTAGGCCTATAACCACATCTTTTGACTCTCCTACCTCTAAAATGATTGATTTTATGTATGGCATTTTTAAACAAATTGATTATAAACCAATACACTCCCTGAAAAACTCATTACAACTCATCGAAAACTTAAAACATATTACACCACATATTAACAATAATACACCGTTATTCTTCGATGTGGTCAATCTATACACAAATCTTGATACCACTTTTACTTTAAAAGCGATTGAAGACATATTCTTTCAACATTTTAAAGATAAAATCATCACTGGTGACTTAATTAAAATACTTAATCACATAATTCTTTCCATTTCTGGATTATTAGATGATTTGTATTTAGATAATATTGAAAAGAACTTTATTGTTAACTCAAAATATCCGTTCTTTAAGAATATCATAAAATGGTATAGATACGTCGACAACATTATACAGATGATTCAAAAAATCGCTGACAGACTTCTAGGGCAGGTAATACATCAAAAATTAAGATGAAAAGTCTTAATACATGGGTTCGCAAATGCCTCCTTAACGAGATATAACGGGTCAAAGTTTCTTTAAAATTAAACATTATCTGCAATAAAAAACGCTTTTTTAAAAATATTTTCAACTCCACTGCTAATTTTGTCAAACGGGCAGTATTTTCGTGTAAAGTGATCATTTATCTAACAAATTGGTCTCTTACAAAACTTTGATTAAAGCAACAGTTTTTGATTGAATTAACAAATTTTCTACAAACGTGTTTTTCTTAAAAACTATTGCTCTGATCAAAGTTTTGTAAGAGACCAATTGATAGATAATTGATCACTTTACACGCGTAGAGAGCAATGTCGTAGATAATATTTTTAAAAAAGTGCTTTTTATTGCAGATAATGTTTAATTTTAAAGAAACTTTGATCCGCTATATCTCGCCAACGAGGCATTCCAACCCCATGTATATTAAGACTATTACAAGACTACATATTAATTTTTCATGTATTATCTACTCTAGAAGTCAGCGGTTTTTTGAATCACCCTGTATGTGTATGGAATGGAAATAAATTCGATCTTGCTAATATGCTATCTTATATGAACAACATCCACAAGAATCTTAAATTCACCTTGGAGATAGAAAAGGACAACTGCTTAAATTTTTTAGACTTAAAAATATAAAAAATTGACAATAATCTTAAATTTGACATTTTCAGTAAGCCTTCGTCTTTAAATACTGTCATCTCTTATGATTCGTTTCATCCCAACAACTACAAATTAGCTGCGTTCCAGGCCTTTATTGTCAGACGATTGAAATATCCTCTAGACTATACATCCAGACTAAAAGAACTAAATTTTATTAACGGATTAGCAACAGAAAATGGTTATCCAAGTTGTACCATCGATAAATTACTGTATAAAAACCTCATAAAACTAGACCTTCTAGGTCTACTGTTAGTTCTAGTTTTACACTATCACTAGAACTAACACAAGACCATGGATAAACCCGAATGTTTCTAATTTTCGGTCTAGTGTTAGTTCTACTATTAACACAGAGTCTATTGACACACAGTCTATCTAACGACAAGTAGTCGGTCATTATGCATTGAAAACCTAAGAAAAACAAGAGTACTTCAACCAAAAATATACGTTGTAAGTTGTAATCTCATCTAGTTTAGTAAAAATAACTTTACTTTTAAGTTTATCAGATTGATTTTGTGGGTGGCTATAAAATAAACAATTTGTAAGGTTAGGTGATGACCGGTTTAATAGGAAAATGCATGGTTAACATTGCTTGTGACGTCACAAAACAATTTTATTGATGCAAAAATTGACATTTTTAGATTTGGTTGAGTTTAAGAATTTTTTACCAACAAAACGAATATTCATGGAAACATAAAATTATAAAGTTTAATTCTTGCTTTATAAACTTAAAATGTTTCTTTCTTTAAATCCCAAATCATTAGTCTAGAAACTTTTAAGTTATAATGTAAAAAATTGTCATTTGCAGCTTGTGTAAAACACATCAATTTAAATTTGAGTCAAGCCCTAAGTTGGAATAGCTTATTGACAGGTTTGAAATAAAATTTAAAAGCAAAAAAAAAGTAATTACCTGATTATGTTTAACGGTTTTATAACCACCACCTTTAGATAATCTTGCAACATGATAAAAATATCCAGCTGTTATTGCTTTTCTTATATTTTCAGACTCTGTCGCATTCGATACCATATCAATTTCAACTCTTTGCATAAGACCAACTAATTGTTCTCTCACATCTCTTGCTCTCCTCATCGATCTAAAAATTGTATTAAAATTTTAATAGTTTTATTCTGGTGTTAGTTCTATTTTTAATTTAATTTACCGGTATTGAATAAAATTTTCATAACACCATTGCGTAGAATAATCAGTATCTCTCCATTGATTATAAACATTTAATAAACTCAAATGATCGCCGGCTAAATCATTAAAATTTTTTCTTGCAGTATCAGCATGAATTATTTTATCTTTTGGTCTATAAAACACTGCGCTATTAACCGATAACATTGCAGCTATTGTTACAATTTCCTCCGAACATTTATACCTAGAAATAAAAATAAATTAACTAAGTCATAAAAGATTTTTTTAAATTTACTTTTCCGACGCTAAAATCATTTTTGCCATCATAGGATCAACGGGAAATTCAGCCATACGTCTCCCTAACTTAGTTAATTCTCCATGATGATTCAAAGCACCCAAAGCATACAATTGTTCTAAAGCTAAAACCAACGTTTCGTGAGGGGGTGGATCCAAAAAATCAAAATGAACCAAATCATTAATTCCTAAAGCTTTTAACATTAACACAGCATTCCCGAGATTAATTCTTTGAATTTCCGGGATTGTATTATCTTCTAATTCGTTTTTAAACGACCACGCTGTATATAATCGAAAACATTTTCCCGGAGCGACTCTCCCCGCTCTTCCTGCACGTTGATTTGCGGAAGCTTTCGAAATTGGGACTACCATCAAACTTTCCATTCCAGTTCGAGAATTAAAATGGTTTTGTTTTGCGAAACCGGGATCAATAACGTAAATGATATTATCGATTGTTAGCGAAGTTTCCGCAATATTTGTTGCTAAAACAACTTTTCGAGCACCCGGTGGGGTTGGATCGAAAATTTTCGCTTGCATGTCACTTGGTAAATTTGCGTAAACAGGTAAAATAAGTAATTCTTTTAATTTTGATCCTAAACGTCGAACGCGATCTTGTAAGAGTTCCTGACAAGTTTCAATTTCTTCCTGACCGGTTAAAAAGACTAAAATGTCTCCTAATGGTTGCGTTGCGTGTATTTGCAAAACGGAAACGACACAAGCGTCGACGTAATCGGCTTCCGGCGCCCGTGTGTAATATATATCAACCGAAAATCGCCGTCCGGGAATACGAAAAATCGGGGCGTTATCAAAAAAATCTGAAAATTTTTTCGCGTCTAACGTAGCGCTTGATATCAATAATTTTAAATCGGGTCTAAATCTCGCTATATCTTTTACTAATCCAAATAAGATATCGGTGTGAAGCGTTCTTTCGTGGGCTTCGTCGATTATCATAACGTTGTAAGATTCTAGGCTAGGTTCGGATAAAAATTCTCTGTGTAATGTTCCGTCTGTCATGTATTTTATTACGGTTCTTTCCGTTGTGCAATCTTCGAAACGAATCGCGTAACCAACTTCATTTCCTAATTTAACGTTCATTTCTTGGGCTACTCGGGCGGCTACTGACATTGCAGCGACTCTTCTGGGTTGTGTGCATCCAATCTTCTTACCTAAACAAAAAAAAATAGTTAAAAATTACTAAAGGAGAAAAATTGCTCAAAAAAGAGATGTAATCAAACGAAAGATTAGCTGTAGAAGGCAGTTAAGGAAATGCAAGATGGGCAAAAATGAGATGATAAGATGAATATGTGGTACAAGACCCTCCGTGAGGGTGGAGAAGATTTAAAGCAATCTATGTAGAAGCTACTAGTCTTCTTCTTTTCTGTCAAGATTCTTCTTTGCCTTTTCAATTTTTATCCTCTTTATTCTATTATTAAGCTCTTTCTAGTTTACTTGCTTGTTTTCACAAAATAAATAAAAAAATTGAAATGTGGAGTAGATAAAAAGATGTTTTTCTTCAAACGTCATTAAATGACAACTTTGTTGTCGTGTTTACTCGCGGTAGAAGTAAGTCATTGTTGCATAACGACGGTTGCTAAGATCAACATAGCAAAAAAGTACTTCAGCGTTATGGCGCTAAAGTAAATTTCACTTTAGCGCCATAACGTTGAAGAACATTTCACTTTAGCGCCGTATTATTTGCAACGTTTGAAGAAAAAATACTATGTTTTATTCGGAAGAGAAGCAGATTCGTTTGTGGCTGGTCCGTCATTGCCGGACTCACTTCGTTCGTCCGGCAAACTGTCGGACACGCCACAATTTTAACGGCTCATCTGTCATTAGCGACTCACTGCGTTCGTCGCTAAGCGACAGACCACGCCATAAAAAGCACTGCTTCTCTTCCATATAAAACAATATACTATTTTCTTCAAACGTCATTAAATGACAACTTTGTTGTCGTGTTTACTCGCGGTAGAAGTAAGTCATTGTTGCATAACGACGGTTGGTAAGATCAACATAGCAAAAAAGTACTTCAGCGTTATGGCGCTAAAGTAAATTTCACTTTAGCGCCATAGCGCTGAAGCACATGTCACTTTAGCGCCGTATTGGAAAATAAGTTAATTGTCATTTTATTAAATTTATTAAAATTTATATTGCAATTATTTGCAACGTTTGAAGAAAAAATACTATGTTTTATTCGGAAGAGAAGCAGATTCGTTTGTGGCTGGTCCGTCATTGCCGGACTCACTTCGTTCGTCCGGCAAACTGTCGGACACGCCACAATTTTAACGGCTCATCTGTCATTAGCGACTCACTGCGTTCGTCGCTAAGCGACAGACCACGCCATAAAAAGCACTGCTTCTCTTCCATATAAAACAATATACTATT